CGTGTATCAGCTGATCATAAGTTCATAACACATAGAACAAGGATACAATTTTCATACCATACGTCATTTCTTAAAAGCCTTCTAAAAGCTCCAAAACAAACATTTTGTAGCCAAAAATTTAAGTAGATTGAATCGCCAAACTTAAAAATGTATCTGCTAAAAGGAAAAAACATATTACAGGTAACTACTTACATAGAAGATTATGGTTTTGATAATGATATCGACCTGACCTGCGACTTTATTGGTTAGGTGTTCAATTTGCCAATGTCTTTCAACATTTCTATGATTGTTAATATGGATAACGAATTCCACGTTGCTCATGAAAAACGAATCATAATATTTTGAAAAATAAAATAAAAAGCAATATGATAATTTTGTTAAAGTATGATGAGATTGCATCAACTTTTATTTTGTCCATGTCCTACAGTCAAGCAAGACTTTATAGTAAAAAAATATTCGATTTCATCGAAACATAACCACATCTAATAGATTGACCACATCAAATGGTTTCCACTAACATTTTTCAAGAAAGCTCTTTTGTCTTTATAGAATACATAACAAGATAAGAAAAAGACATCAATCCTAAATGTGTACATATGATGTTTTAGTGAAAGTGAAGATATGAGAGACTTGAAACAAATGATTTATATTTAAAAGAAATGCGTTGCCATCAAAATTTGAGGTTTCTTCTTTTCTTCTTCAACTTCAATTACAGCTGCTGTTTTGATCTCTTTAACCTTTTTATCCCAAGTCTCATCCACTAGTTTCCATGTGTCATCGCTAATGATCTGCGTCTGCATTGAACACAACGTAACACAAGTGTTAAATTACAAAAGAAAGACTTTAGTAATGGTTTTAACTTGTACTACATACCTCCATGGGACGAGGAGCACCAAATGTTGCGAAACCGACGTTTCCTGGAGAAAATGTTACTCTTCCTGGGAGCGATACACCGTGAATTCCCCATCTTCCCGCATAGATTAAAGCTCCATATTCATCCACAGGTCTCACTGGTTTCTGTTTTCATGGAACAGAGGATCTATAAGCATAACCAAATAACCAAAACAGAGAGAAAGAGAGTGAGAGAGAGATAACTAACTTGAGGAATCCTTGGAGCTGTGTTGTAGATATTCCAAATTTCATCCGCTTTGATATCTCCCTTCTCAAGAAGCGCATCTGAAAACATCATTACACTCTTTTAAGATTGTCTGACTGTATATAATGATGATGAATGTCTACAATTGTAATGAAGAAACAGAGGAGATTTGATATTATTCTAAACCTGTGATTTCTTCAAGAGCTGATTGATATTCTTGTAAGATTGATGAGCATTTCTCAACAGCAAACCGCATGTATTCATCGCGTAACGCCTCAAGTTTCGGAATCAGCTACACGTAGGAGGAAACCAATTGGTGGTTACGAAGATTCCCATAAACAGAAAGGAAGAAGAAGTAATGGAAACTTACGTTTGGAACGAGGTCTCTTTGGTTTCGGTAGTAAGCTTTACCAAAAGCAGTCATTCCCGTCTGAAGAATCAGAAACTCTGCACGCTGAGAAGCTTCTAAAGTAGACTTAGCAGAGATCCAGCACAAGTTCTCAATCCCAAACATCTCCTCTTCAACTACTCTGGCTGTAAAACCAGCGATCAAGCCATCATCAGCAATAGAGATTCTTGTGGTCTGTAACCAAAAATGAAGTAAAATGTAGTAACTTACGAGCACATGCGCGGATAATTGAGTTCACATAATCTGACTTTCTCGCAAAAACTCTTCCTGAAGTTTCTGAATAGCGCATATTTGGTTGGCTTCGGATTGAATTGATGTCAGTCTGTAGAGAGAAGAAGCACAATGAACAATAGTCTAAAGTTAAAGTTATAATCCAAAAGAGCACATGAAGGATCATCCAATTTCTCAATTACCTCACTGATTGGCCTGTACTGATCTGGAAGGTAGCAAGCAAGAACAGCAACAGATGCTTCTCGGTAAGCCAATCTCAACTTCAGCTCCTCTGGAACTTCAGTACTATCTTCTTGTCCCGTCTCAAATGTTCCTTTTTGCTGTTATGTGTGGAATCAGAAATCAGCATCTAAGTGTGGATAAAACTGGATTTTAAAGCACTAATAGTTACCCTCTTAAGCGCCTCTAGGAGCTCTTCTCTTCCAATGTAGTCTAAGTCTTTTCTTGCAGTCAAGATTCCAGCTTCATTTCTGTCAGTAAATCAAAGAAACTTCAGTGTTTTTTCACTCTGCAAGTCTCTAAAACTTCAGTGTATTTCTTACAGAACGTTTTGCAGTTCTGCTCCAGTAAAATCTTCCGTGTTCTCAGCTATTTCTTGCAGCAACTCTTCCTTCTCATCTTCGGATCGGAAAAACTTATTTCTAGCATGAACCTTTCGTACAAAGCCAACCTTTTAGCTAAACACATTGCAAACCAAAACTCTTCGCTTCCGGAAAATGTAAAATGAAAGTACCTTTAATATCGCCAATCTACCATCTTTGGAAGGTAAACCAACTCTTATGATTTTGTCGAAACGCCCTTTTCTCAAGAGAGCAGGGTCAAGAATGTCTAATCTATTTGTTGCACCTATGACTAGTACCTGACAAAATCCATGATTAATACTTTAATAGCAAGAAATGTTTTTATCCAATGAGAAACTTTGAAGCAAATTGAAACATTACTTGTGAAGTAGTAACTTTAAATCCATCCATCTCAGTCAATATCTGAAGCAAACCTTGTTCTCTCTCTGCTCCTCCCTGTTCAATTAGGAACACATTATAAAAATATTTCATCTTATAAAACGAATATCTAACTTCCAGATCAAAGATGTTAATACTTACCCCGCCAATATCTGGTCCACCTCGCTTACTTCCAATTGCATCAATCTCATCTATAAAGATAATCGATGGAGCAAATGATCTAGAGCTAGCAAAAAGATCTTTCACACGAGATGCAGCCACTCCTACAAACATCTAGCGATTTAAACAACAAGAAAAACAGGAAACTCCATTAACTCAAGACCTTTAGGACAGTTTTTCCAACTCTATGAACACAATCAATTCCTCACCTCAACAAAATCGGTTCCATTTGCCGCAAAGAAAGGTAAACCAGCTTCTCCGGCAATAGCTTTAGCCAACAGAGTTTTTCCTGTCCCGGGAGGTCCATGAAGAAGAACACCTTTTGGACAGTAAATGCCTTTATTCTGAAACTCCTCGTCATTCTTCAAAATCCGTACAATCTCTTGTAATTCCCTCTTTATATACTCCTGACCAGCAAAATCATCAAAAGTTACTCCAGTTTTCTCCTCTGCTGATATAAATTTAGCCCTGAAAGAAAAAACAAACACACACACACACACGTAATCTTAGACAAGAATCTCTTTCTGCCATTCTGAGTTAAAATCAAATAACTGGTCTTGATTTGACATACCTACTCTTGCCTAAGGATCCAAGTGCTTGGCGCTTAAGGGGTGTTTTTATCTTTTTAGTAGGTGTTCCAAGATCACAAGGGATTAACTTGGCATAGATTGGCCTCGTGATACTGTCGATCCAAACATAAAGCGAAACAAACAGAGCAAGTCTCATAGACCAAATCACAAAAGTGGCAACTGTAGTGTAGACTTCAGCTGGAACCACATCCACATTATAAACTTCCACGTTGACTATCTGCTGATGCAACTTCTTCCATACATCATTCCAACCATCTATTGGCATTCGGTCCACAATGTGACGACGGTAAATTATCTCCTTTTCCGGTTTTTCTTCTTCTCCTAGGAGCTCCCCATCTTTATAATAAGGCAATATCACTGCAACAACAACAACAAAACTTAACTAAGAGCAATGATATCATTGAAACAGAAACCATGAAAAGGACCTCACTTTAGGAAACTCCATTTCATTAGCATATCTAACAAATAGGAAAGCATTGAAATGATGAACTTTTATGTGACTTTGGACCTGATATGGTCTGTCCGTAATTTGAATATTCCATGTACTGAACACTGTTGGAATCTAACAGTTTCATGAAATCGCTAAAATTGATCCGGTGAGAGGTTTCAGGATCCCATTCAGTTCCTTTCAACTTCCCACGCATCGTTAACAATTTCCTGCTCCAATCTGAAGCCATGACAAGCTGCCTTTCTAACTGTACATTAGCCTTTCTCTCGAGCTCTTGCTTGTTGCTAATTCGTTCTCTTTCAGCTTCTCTTAATCTCTGGAAAAATAAAAAATCAAAGCTTTGAAAACTCAAATTGAGCATAGTCTCTAATTGCTTATTACGTATTAAGAGACTATGAACAAATTCTTCAATTTTCCATTTGAGAAGAGAAAAAACTCACCTCAAACAAACGATTCGATTCAGCATCTTCTTCCAGTGGAACGGAAGACTCAGTAGACTCAAAGCTTGATGATGTACTGCAAGTAATCAAACCGTCTCTTCGTGAAGGAAAAATATTGAATTTGGAGGCTAATTTAGCTTCCGTTGGTCTTCTCCGACGGACGAAACTAGACAGAGAACTCGGAAATTGAACGGGGAGGAAGGTGTTAGAAGGGTTTAAGGGTTTCGAGAAATGGGTTGGAGTTAACGAACTCGAGAAATAGAACGCCATTTCTCAATCATCAGAGTAGAGAATTTTTCTTCGCTAATGTGTTCCCTTTATTTCTGTGTGCACCAAAACGATAGCAAACATTTTCTAGAGGTGAAATTTGAAGCTGGGTTGGGTTCTTCACGGAGATGGGAAGAGACGATCGAAACGGTGCGTTTTGTACATTTTCTCCAAAATGGCATCGTTTCAGATTTTTATAACATGACTAAAACATAAAAATGACTAAACATCATAAATTAAATTAAATTCGTTTTTAATTATAAATGACTAATCAAATAATTGATAATGTCCTTCTTCTACCATCATAACCAAACATACAAAACCAAATTCGAATTCTGTGGAGATACATTAATTTTTATACCGAACCGGTGCTCTTGAAACGGTTGATCGATCTGATGCGTTTATAGTTTAGACTTCTGAATCGCACAGTTGATAAAAAACTTATCGTTCCGAAAGTTGCAGAGTGCTAGCTCGGGCACACTCTCTCTTTTGTTATCAAACCAGCCTTCAAGCCAATTTAGAGTTGTAACCTGTTAGGAAAAAGAAAAGAAGAAAAGAAGAATGGTTAGTAGAGAGTGAGTCTCTACTGAAAAAATGAAAAAGCACAAGTGTAGCACTAACCTGTTGGCTAACATCCCACCGGCGCAAGCCCAAGCTAACAATGGCATATCTCTCCATGCTGAACAGAAGCATATCAGATGGTTTTCTTGTCGGCTGCTGAGAGTGTTCCCCGATGAGTTTTTTCCATCTTCAGAATCAGGTATGCATCATCACATCACGGATGATACATTTATTTACTGATGTCAAGTACTAGTACTTATCATGAAATAGATTAAGTGTGATAAACATACCCAGCGCTCAAGACGACAGTCTGTCCTAAGCGGTAAACTGCAATGGACATCCGTGTATCCGAGTAAGGCGTCTTCAGGATTCGCTTGAGAATATCGACGGTGCAATGACATCAGGAAGACATGTAACATTAGCATCCTCCTCTGCTATACCTATATCACATGTCAAGTCAACTTAACCAAATTAGAACTACAACCAAATTAGAACTACAACACTAAGATATACAAAGTGATAGGGAACAATATGCTTCACCGAGAAGCTAGCTAAATCTCTTGCACAATAAATGCTCAATCATAGATTCAATAGTCAAATCAAACTCATCTTCATTATTGAGATAAGTCTTGCAAAATGCATGTGTGATGCTCGAACAACCTACGCAACATGTTTTTAGCATTAATTAGTACAAGTACTATCAAAGTTTCAAAACAGAAAACGAGAAAACGAGTCACTGATTAATAAACAATAGACAAACAAATCATCTCAAGGAAGACCAATACGGATGGTAATGGGACCAACTTTATCTCCCATATATATCGCAAAGGTGAATGAGTGTTTAAAAATTCGCTAATGAAAAAAACCCAAAAATCAATACACCACAAAATGTTACAAAAGGAATTTGGGGTTAATGGTCATGACACTAATAAGTTGGGGGGTTTAGTATTGGACGAAATATCTGTTGGATTTGTGTTTAATGCATTAGTTATTGTTATGTGAAAACGATTTTCAAAAAATGATCTGAGAAATGGTTTAAGTTCTTTCTCTTCTTCCTCTAACTTCTCCCATTTCTGTTCGTTATTGATCAGATCCTCTTCATCTCTCCTTCATATCAAATTCGAGTTATGGAAATAAAGTAAAGTTTATACCGAACCAGTGCACTTGTAACCGTTGATTTGGGGCGTTTAATCCATCCCACCGTTGTAAAAAAAATACCGGTACTACCCTTAACCGGACAGTGTCAAATTCGAATTTCCGGTAGTACACTAAAATTTCGATATTAAACCGGTTTTGAACGAGCAAAATCTCTATGTTCGGACTTCGGATGAAAGAGACCGTTGTAGATCTGTTTTGATGATTACTTCTTCGTCTTCTTTTTCCGAGATATGGTGAAACACAGAAGCTCATATCGCTCAATAATCTCATCTTCTTCCTCTTCAGTTAGATTCTTCTCCATAAAAGCCATCACTCTCTACTTGATCTTCGTATTTGCTTTCACCATCTGGGTTCTCGTCTTCAGCTCCAGAAACATACAAACCGATGACCAAACCCAACATCAGCAGCAGCAACATCGGGATCTAATCGATTCACAAGAATTCCCGACGCCATATTTGCCTCCGAGGAAGGTATGATTCTTATTTTAGTGGGGTTTGGATTTAAAAGTGACTTGATTTGGTTTCAGATTGATTTTGATCTGGACAAATTAGTAAAGAGAAACTATTGACGAACCTATTTGAGCTTCAGAATTTGCAGAAACCGGATGAAAAAACTCAACTTTGGACTCCTCCTTTCAGCTTTGGTTTGCATCCATGTGTCAAACCTACTCCTAAATACAAAGGTAACGAAAACAAAAAGCTTCATTTCAATTTCTGCTGGATCGATTTAGGACTCTGTTCATGAATAGGGAATTTCAGCTTTGATTTAATTTCAGGTTCATTTCTTTATGTTTGTATTAAAAAGCACAATTTTCCTTGTCTTTTGCAGAATTTACAGAATCAGATCATTATATAACAGTGAGAAGTAATGGTGGACTAAATCAAATGCGCACTGGTGTAAGTAAAATTAAACCAGGAACCATTTAAGCTCATGTTGTTTATTTTTCTTATTTAGTATGAATGTTTCATGTTACTCTTACAGATAGCAGATATAGTAGCTGTTGCGCACATTATGAATGCAACTTTAGTCATTCCTGAGCTGGACAAGCGGTCGTTTTGGCAAGATTCAAGGTATCTGAAAATTGTTTTATGGCTAACCTACACTTCTCTGACCTCAGTGCTCTATTGCTAACTTCCACGTCACTGTGCCTCAGTGTTTTTTCAGATATTTTTGACGAGGAACATTTCATCAAATCCCTGCGAAGAGATGTGAAGATTATTAAAAAGCTGCCAAAGGAAGTGGAATCTCTGCCTAGAGCAAGGAAGCATTTCACTTCTTGGTCTTCTGTAGGATATTATGAAGAAATGACACACTTGTGGAAGGAGTACAAGGTATTAAGCAACTTCTCTTTGTAAAATGAATCTGCTTTTTTTTATCCATCTGCTCTGTTCTCATTGTGTAGCGATGTTGTTAACCGCTGACTGAATAACAACAATGCAGGTCATCCATGTCGCGAAATCAGATTCTCGCCTTGCAAATAACGACCTGCCTATTGACATTCAGAGATTGAGATGCCGTGTTCTGTATCGTGGTCTCCGCTTCTCTCCTGCTATTGAAAGCCTTGGACAGGTTTGGACCCTTTTGCTGTTCATGTTAACATTTTACTGTTCTTGCCCCACACACACACACACGACATAGACAGGCTGTAGTAAATACACACGACATAGACATTAGACACTATATCATACATAAGTCTCAGTAGTTTATGCATTTAAGAGGTGTCCTATGGGGCTTCCTGTAGACTTTGGGTTCTGAGCAATCATGACGGTGACACCACAGAAGCTGGTTGAGCGACTCAAGTCACGCGCTGGGAGATTCATTGCATTGCATCTGAGATATGAGAAAGACATGTTGGCATTCACTGGTTGTACCTATGGCCTCACTTATGCTGAATCCGAAGAACTTAGAGTCATGCGGTAATCAATTACTCTGTGCATCTATATATTCTTCACAAGGCAGAGATGAAAAACATATTCCTGGGATTAAGTTACTGTTTTGGCTGAATATGCTATTGGTTGATGACAGGGAAAGTACAAGCCATTGGAAGATCAAAAGCATAAACTCAACAGAGCAGAGAGTGGAAGGCCTTTGTCCATTGACTCCAAAAGAAGTGGGGATATTTCTGAAAGGTCTTGGATATCCTGAATCAACTGTCATTTATATTGCAGCTGGGGAGATCTATGGGGGTGATGATAGACTCTCTGAGCTTAAGTCTCGCTTCCCTAATCTACTATTTAAGGTTTGTTTATAACCATGCATCCCTTAATCTTTCATGTCACCGGCAGTCTAAAGATGATCTAATGTTTTGTTTCAATGTAGGAAATGCTTGCTACAAAAGAAGAGTTGAAAGGTTTCACAGGCCATGCGACTAAAACGGCTGCTCTTGATTATATAATCTCGGTGGAAAGTGATGTATTTGTTCCTTCACATTCTGGAAACATGGCAAGAGCCGTTGAAGGCCACCGCAGATTTCTAGGGCATCGCCGGACAATCACTCCAGACAGGTTCTATCTCCTTCCTTTTGTTGCCTTTAAACTTCAAAAAGCTTTTCTCTTTTACTCATTTCGTGAAGAAAAAAATGGTGTTGTATGCAGGAAAGGATTAGTGAAACTCTTCAATAAGTTCGAGAGAGGACACTTACAAGAAGGAACAAAGTTGTCCAATCTTGTGAAGCAAATGCATCAAGCTAGGTAACAAAAATATAATACCTTTGCAATGAACTTTCTTCGTATAGTGCCAAAAAGAAAGCATCTTTGATGCAAAAAGAGATTCTTTGGATCATCGGTTTTGCAGGCAAGGTGCACCGAGAAGAAGGAAAGGACCAACACAGGGGATCAAAGGACGTGCTCGTTTCAGAACTGAAGAAGCCTTTTACGAGAATCCATACCCAGAGTGTATTTGCAGCTCAAAGGACCACAAAGAACCCTAACTTATATTTTCCTAACTTTTTGTTTGTTTGTTTGCTTCAAGCGACTCCAACATTCTTTGTTCTGTATTTATAGTACTTAGAAACAATTTGGAACACCAAGGTTTTTGTTCTTTTTGGCATTCATAGTTTTATAAAAGGAATGCGTTTCATAGGTAGAGAGGTTTTATCCAAAAGACTGTCACTACGTAATTCAGACAAGAGTGAAACACCAAGTTACTACTGATAGTTATGTCATCCAGGCAAAAGATTTCTACACTTGCAAGAAAATCTACTGAACAAAGTCGTCGTGTTAAATTTTTACACACAAAGTCATCTTAAACGATCTGCGAATTAAAAGAAGACATGCCATTTGAAGTGTTAATGGCTCTCTTACCCTTAGCTCTGCTCTTTGTAAGGAGTCCAGATCATTTTGCTAACATCTACATCAAGACCACCTCGACCTGCAGCTTTCAAATGTCGGTCCAGTACTTTAGGATCTGCGCAGATCACGTGCTGTCCTTTCCTGTACTGTATCAGTTCCAAGCTCTGAAGGGTGCTTAAGATATCTTCAGCTTTAATCGCTGTCATGTCGCTCAGCTCCTACATTTGAAAAAAAGATTGGGATATATGAAATGATCTGTTGATGGATAGGCTAATAAAAGCATGATTAAGGATAATATATACCTTGATAGATATGTTTCCCTTGTGCTTTTTCAAGATGTCTAATAAGATCCGAGTCCAGTACCCTCTGTAACTCACTAACCCTAGATCAGAGAGGGGTCGTTCAGGTGTCCCGACTTTGCCCTCTTTCTTTGAGAGTTCATAGGCTATAACACAAAAGAATGGGTAATTCATTTATCAACTTCAATAACAAAAAAAGGAGGAGGAGATGTAAGCTTTATAGAGAGATATAGGAGAAAAGAGCAAGAGACGTAAATGAAAACAAGAAAACTCACAGAAGGCTATTAAGAATTTGCCGTAGCCTTTCCTTTGATAGGGAGGAAGGGTAAGGATGCAAGCCAAGTTGTAAGCTTCTTCCGAGTGTTTCTCCTGTACCATACGAATTTTACATCAGACCATCAATATGAAACAAAACATGTATGTATTAAATCAGGAAGAGATAGCATGTCAATAACCAAACAAGAATGCTTAAACGCTCTTAAACAAAAGAACAGAGTGCTTAGATTCTTTGTACTCGTGGTAATTCTTGAAACTGTTTAACCTATTCCATTGTATCCAACAGGCGTGGTAGAACAAAGATCCACTCAGGAAAAAGTATATAGCTATTTTACATAATTAACAGAGTGCTAGTACCTTTGAAAAGTATCCAACCATGTGGCATCCACGATCATCACATTCGCAAAGTATATAGAACAGGAACAAGTCAACGTCGTAGTAAAGAGTTTTGTGGTCAAGAAATAGCTTTGCCAGATAGCAGAGGTTCTGTGCATAGACCTTGTTCTTTTTGCCATCTACCTGCAAGATTAAAAGGGATTTCTCAGGTCGTGAACACTCTCTTCTGAATGTACTAGCGTCACTTGCAAGATAAGACCAGAAAATGTATATTGAAAATATCCACGATATTACCTCAAACATTGACAGGGTAGAACTTCGATAGATTTCATCCCCAGGGGGATGCTTCAGATCACATTTCCTCTGCACAGAAACAGAGCGATTCAAATGTTAATAAGAAGAAAAAAATGAAATCAGCTTGAATGCACCATGAACGTACTTATGAAAGCTCATAATATTTGAAATGAACCGAAGCATAATACAACTAGTTGCTCACCATATGTCTTTGAAGCTGTTCTTTGCGCTTCATGAAATTCAAGCAAAACTCACAGAAGAAGAGCTTCACGCAGTCATTGTATTCTGGCGGGAAGGGAGAGAAGTACCACGTCTCAATCTCATATTTCCCAAGCTCGATCGTTGCTATGTTCTTCACTTTCGTGAACTCCTCGTGTTCACGCAAACTCGCAGCATCCAGCTCTTCATGACCCTGTAAACATATTGCAAAATATCAGAATATAGCCAGTCTCAGACACTAAACCACAACAAAAAAACTACTTGAGTTAGATTATCACTTACCTCTACATGCGTCTCATCAATCTTCCGTTTTTGGTGTCGTGTCATCTTCAAGCTAGTCACCTATTTCCACAAACAAACTAATCTGCTCAATGCGAAATATGGAAAGCAAAGCTCAATAATTTGAAGAATGGCTTACCTTATCTTCAACTTTTTCATCCAAGGCACACTCTACGGAATCAAGGTCAAGCTGATCAAGCTTAATCCATTCATCCAGTCTTCTATTAACTGCATTTTCACAATGAAAATTTCCACGGCTTCGAATCAAATTTCGAAATTTTCAGGACCCAATCACTAAACCCTAGATCACAAAATTGGATAGAGAAATGAAACGACTTACACTCTGTGTAATGGACGTAATACTCGTATTCATTGTTGCCATCGGTATGATTCTTCCGGCGCTCGATAACCTTCACGGGATGGTACTTTCCGTCTCTCCACTGACACATCACGCGAGTGCCCACCTCGAGGGGAAGCACCCCCGTCCTTCTCTTCTTCGACGCATCCGCTTCGGAGATTGTCAGCATCGCAGCAGTATTATGAGACGGATTCGCATCCCCGCCGTTGATTGACGGATGCTTGTGGTTCAACGCCGGAGAGGCGGTGACCATCGCCGTCTCTGTATTCGCAGACGATCCCATTTTTCCAATCGGGTCCGAGTTTCCCGGGTGGATTTTTTCTCATACGGGTAAAAAACACATTTTGTAAGGAATAGAGCCCATTCATCGTTTAAAAGCTAATATGGGCCGAATCTTTTATAGTGGGCTTCAGGAGAATAAGCGGCCTTCGAATCACAAGTTGAAGTTTAAGAAAAATATATTTTACAAAAATAAGAGCAAATGCGAGATGAATGGTTTCTAATTAAGAGCGCAAAACAAGTTGAGTAGATGACAGAGGGAGTTTTTGTCGTGAATCCGAAACAGCCAAACAAGCCTTTATGATTCGTACTAATCACAAGATTCATAGATCAATTAGCTTACAAAGTTCCAAGCAGCAAAGACCACAAGTCATCATCATGTATTTTGAAGTTATGGTCCTTAGATTCGCCCTCCATGTTCCTCTCTAATCCAAAATGAATTTAAAGGATCAAAAAGATTCACATGCATGGCCGCACTTTACTGTTTTTATCTTGTAATTTAAAATAAAAATAACAAAACTCCGGGCAATGAGATATTAGACTTGCTTTCAAATGAAGAAAGAATATAATTGATATTTCAGTTTTTTTCACATGTTAACACGTTATATGGCAACCAGGCCGAAATAATAATGATGATCACATATTAACATCTACAAGTTTGTTTCTTTTAGATGGGTAGAATGATTGTTATAGCAACACGTTTTAATGAACAAATGAGTTAATACTTTTACAGAAATTCATCCTGGTAATTAGTAACTGCTACACATTAATGTCTTGTGTTCTAGTAGTACTGTATATAACTTCAATATTGTTACAACACGGTGACAAAACTAGCGAACCACATTTTACTATTCCGGTATTCAGTAAAAATGTATTCGGAAATATAACCATCAGAAGAAAAAAAAACAAAACAAATATATTATTTTTTCCCCTATAAGACAAGAATGATCTTAGTTTATGTTTATCCCAACTCTCTCTCTCTCCATAAACTGTTGCTCGAAACCCTCTACTCGAAATGGCTACTTCTCCCATCTTCATCCTCCTCGTTATCCTAACCTTTTCATCATCAACTCTAGCCTCAGCCAAATCCAACACCACCACAATCGAAGCAACTTGCAAGAACACAAAGTACTACAAGTTCTGCGTCTCAGCCCTCAAATCCGACCCAAGAAGCCCTAGCGCTGACGCAAAAGGCCTCGCCGCCATTATGATCGGCGTTGGTATGACAAACGCCACCGCCACGGCCACTTATCTCGCCGGTAACCTTACCGCCGCCGCAAACAACACCGTCCTTATAAAGACCTTAAAAGATTGCTCCGACAAGTATACTCTCGCCGCTGATTCTCTCCGGCTCACTATTCAAGATCTTGACGATGAAGCTTATGACTATGCTTACATGCATGTGCTGGCGGCGGAAGATTATCCAAATGTTTGTCGGAATGTTTTCCGGCGAGTTAAAGGTTTGGCTTATCCGAGGGAGATTCGCCGGCGTGAAGAGAGTCTGAGACGTATATGTGGTGTTGTCTCCGGGATTCTTGACCGGCTTGTTCAAATATCTTAAGTGTACTACTTATTATGTTCTTTAACAAAAATAAAAGTACTACTTATTATGTTTCTCTAAAAAAAAGGTTGGTAAAAAGTAACAAGCCTCTATTCCTCTTAAGTTAATAGTAATGATGATTATAAACAAGTTTAATGAAGTATGGATCTTTTGCTTTTTAATATCATGTTAATTTACTCTCCATTCCTCTCTACTCTTGTTATTATTGGCTATTCAAACTGTTAACCTGAGCAATAATAGACCAGATCGCTACCTAGAGTAATGGATTTTGTGTATTTGTCAATTTTGTCTACTGATCACAACCAGAGCCTTAAGTCGTGTTTAGTGCCAAAGATATGGGGAAAAAGGCTAATATTTGTTGGGAAATAGAGATATTTTTTCATTTCTTTAATGGAAAAAAAAAAATTAACTTACTACAAATATACTTTTGCTTTATCTGAATGCATTATACGTGTTATCGCTTCGGAATGTTTACACTTTAAAAATTGCGATAAGGTTTTAAAAGTAACATTTTAATAAAGAGAAAGGCAACGTCGTGTATGCAGATTCAAAGAAAATAAAAGCTGAACAATTATCGACCTCATAACTACTGCTCCTTTTAAGACGACGTCGACTGAAAGTCTGAAATGCAAATCAAAAGCAAAAGATGCATGGCTTTATACCTGTAAACTATACATTTTAAAATTTTAGATGCAGATATTTGAACAAAAAAAAAAGATGCAGATATTTATATAAAATTATTGAAGTGAATGCATTCGTAGGTCAGCGACTACAGTCTTCGCTATCACATAAGATAAATAAATAAATGACTAATAATTGAACTATCTAGCTATGAATCTATCATGTACAGTATAGTACAGTCAAATGTGAATATATTAGAAAATAATAATTAGTTTCCTAATGTAACACTAATTCGAAAGGTCTAGCTAGTCGGTGGACAAAATCGTCATTTGACACGGAGACAAAATTTGCGCGCCAAAATGATCCCAAAAGACGCGCCACAGTGTCAGTCTTCTTCTCTCCACTAATCCACAAACCCTAGTAATTTTCCCCAATTTTCTCGAGAAAATCCGCCACGATTCTGGGAGCTGTGCGGGATTAACAAGATGAAGGGAGGAACAATACAGATTAGCTGGCACGATGGGAAGCCAGTCCTAACCCTTGATTTTCACCCGATTTCCGGCTTACTCGCCACCGCCGGGGCCGATCACGATATCAAGGTATGCAATTCCTAAGATTTCCTCCAATTTAGGGTCTGGGTTCCGAAAATTTCCTCGATCTATCTACAAGAGCGGGTAATAAGGGATTTGAATAATTTTTTGAATCGGCGATTGTTTAGAAGATAAAAAGACTGTATATATCCGCTTGATTGTTTGAATCTGCAAGCATCTTCTCATGGGTTCATAGATTTAGCATATGGACTTCTATTGGTTATGATTGTTGACACTCACTATTGACTAATTTGGAAATTTTGCAGCTATGGTTAATAAACTCTGGTCAAGCGCAGAAGAAGCTTCCCAGTGTAACTTACCAGAGCAGCCTTACTTACCATGGATGTGCTGTAAATACCATTCGTTTTTCTCTATCTGGTTAGTAATGTGTTTCTTAGATAATATCAAAGTATAATTTTCTGGGAAAAATGAATTTAGCTTAGTGTTTTCAGAGGTTCTTCTGAGCCATAATCATGCTAAAACCTATGCTATCTAGTTTTGACGATTGCTCTATGACAATATGCAGGAGAACTACTTGCCTCAGGAGCAGACGGTATGGCTAAGAACACATCTGGTGGCTAAGATGCAAATGTGATTTGCTTATTTTGAATGTGTAACGAAACCAATGGCAAAGTGCTATTTTTGTTATAATGCAGGAGGCGAGCTTATCATATGGAAGTTGCATACTAGTGAAACCAATCAGTCCTGGAAAGTTCACAAGTCATTATCGTGAGTCCTTTCATCTGAATAACAAGCCCCATTGTTTCTGGAGCAACAATGTAGGCTAAGAGAGTTAATTTTTTACTTCTGTTTGCTCTGTTAGATTTCATCGAAAGGACGTCTTGGATCTTCAGTGGTCTCCTGATGGTGCTTTCCTGATTTCTGGCTCAGTGGACAACTCTTGCATTATATGGGACGTTAACAAAGGTGAGAAAGTAAAGAGGAGATGAATCATGTTTCATGCTGCTTCCAGATTTTCTGCTTCTGAATTTTTCAAATTTGCTACAAGGTTCCGTCCATCAGATTCTGGATTCCCACTGTCATTATGTTCAAGGTGTTGCCTGGGACCCTTTAGGAGAATATGCAGCCTCGCTTAGTTCAGATAGAACATGCCGGATTTACGTCAATAGGCCACAAAAAAAGGGTAAAAAAAAAAGTGATGAAAAAATGAACTATGTTTGTCAGCATGTTATCACGAAAGTAGATCAGAAACGGAAAGATGAAACTAAGGTTAGAGAGAAAATAATTTTCTTTTTATGATTCATTTTGAATACACGGTTTGCCTGATTTCGCAGTAAAATGATAATGCAGAAAACAAAAACCCATCTCTTTCATGATGAGACATTGCCTTCTTTCTTCCGAAGATTGTCATGGTCACCTGATGGATCCTTTTTACTCATTCCAGCAGGTGTTTATCCTTAAAAACTAGTCCTCTATTTTTCAGAAATTTAGTTTCTAACAGCTCCTGTCGTCACTGTTTGCAGGCTCTCTCAAGCTTTTACCCACATCCAAAGCTTTAAATGCTACCTATGTTTTCTCTAGAAAGGACCTTTCAAGGTAAGATAAACCACCTCACCGTCTCTTGTTTGGAAGTCGTTAGGCTTGTGGAACATATTGTAGACGTGTCTAAGCTCTTCTTTAAACTGAGCCAAGTGACCTCAATTGCTTAAGCTTATATGTATGAGATAAATAGAAAGCAATACAAAGTCTCACAGTCACAAGCGACTAATTTCTTTCTCCCACAAGCAGACCTGCACTGCAGCTTCCAGTTGCCAGCAAACCGGTCGTAGTGGTTCGTTTTTGCCCTGTTGCATTCAAACTCCGTGGCTCAAATACTGGTACATATTATGTTTTCTCGTAACATTTTTCTTTAAAGATGGAAAAAGCAAGGCCTTGGAGATGTATCTTTTCCTTAATGTCTTCATTTTTTGGATTTTGCAGGAGAAGGTTTCTTCAAGCTTCCTTACCGGCTTGTCTTTGCCATAGCAACTCTAAATTCGGTCTACATATATGACACAGAATGTGTCGCTCCAATTGCAGTCTTAGCAGGTCTCCACTACGCTGCAATAACCGATGTAACATGGTAAGAAATTAATATTCACATTTTTTCAGTTCTGAAGAATCCTAGCTTTGAAAATGTAACCAATGATCAAATTTATGTTCAATATAGGTCACCTAATGCCTCGTATCTGGCAGTGTCGTCACAAGATGGCTATTGTACACTAGTTGAATTTGAAGATAACGAAATAGGAGAAGCTGTCTCCATTAAAGGTTTGCCCTTGGTTCTTTTTACTCTCTTCTACGTTCCATAACCGTATTGACCCATCGATTCATTTCAGCCCGAAAGAAACCAGTGGATGGCAAGGAGAAAAAGCATGTTCTGGAGAAAGCCGATGAGCTGATGACCGAAGCAAGACCAGACGAGAGCAAGATACAGGCAGTATCAAAACAAACTGAAAAGAGGAAAAAGCCATTGCAGAGGAAAATTACCACATATGGTGAGGAGAAAGAGCAGGTTATGCAGAAGACTGATGCTGTGATGACGGAAACAAGACGAGAGGATGAGAAACAGCCATTGCCGAGCAAAGTTAACAAACCGCTTTCAAAGAAACCGGCGAAAAAGCGTATCACACCGATGGCTATTGACCCGTAATGGAAGCTAACTAGTAACTACTGATGTACTTTCTCCTTTTCAATCATCTTTCTATTACAACGTATCATCTGATGTGGCGGGCTTTTTGGCCCGTTTAGGCCCTGCCCCTTTAAAACTCGCCCACACTCATCATCCTTTCAAGCCCGTTTGAGTTTTGGCCCGCAGTTATTCTCTTCTTCTGCATATGTTTGTCAATATTAAGTCATTTTTTATCATATCAAAAGTAAATATGTAATAACAGTAAACCAAATTTCATATTGTTGCATAAGTTTTATCCAAATAACCATCGTTGTTTCAAAGTTTCTTAGACAAATTGCTTTAAGATGAATACCACACAAACATTGATTCTTGATTAAAGTAGGCAAACGATCAGCTCAAACTTACTAAAGCTGAATGTCAATAATTTCTTACATCTCTTGGGTATTGGCATAGAGAGAGAGCAACATGATTTGGTAACGATTTCATAACATTGTATATTAAATTGATTAAGGTTCTTTGATGATATCTATCCTTGACTCAGAAGTCAGAACCAAGCAAGCAAGTAGCCAAGTGGTTAGGATTTGAAACCAAAAGAGAAAGAGTATGAAAACACAATGGTATGGTGTGATATCATCTGTCAAAGTTTCTCACTGAAGTCTGACATAATGTTGACTTACAGAAACATATGAAGTGAGAAAGGAGAGCACAAAGTCAACGGAATTAAAGAGCCATATGAAGAGATTCTCAAGTGTGATCGCCAGTTTGGACAGGAGAAACTGTGAGATATTTGGATGAGATTTCGTGATGGGCTTCTTTGGGCCCGTGTATACTACTACCTATGAAACTTAAGTTTCGAATTGGTGAAAACAAATAATTGACCGGTAAAAAACTTATCATTTTATCCAAATTTCCAAAACCCTCTCTTCCATGATAGCCGTAAAAAGAAAAAGTTAAAGTTAAAAAGAAAAAACCAAAACCCAGAAAATTCCAAAATCTCTAAAATGGCAATCGCTCTCCATCTCTGAATCCTCTGACTCTCTCCCTCATCAATAATTCTTCAATTTCAGTTTCAATTCTTTTTCCCACTAATTTTCATTTAATTTTGATAAATATTCAATACCTATACATACAAACATATATACAAAAAAATCTCCCTCTCTCCCTCCAATGGATTCTCCGAAACTCCCGCACTCTATCTCCGCCTCCTCCTCCACTCCATTCGCTTTCTCCGCCGTCAAACCTCACCGGAAAAACCTTCCCTCCCGTAATTGCATTCTCATAATAATCGCCGTATCCTCCATCCTCCTCCTCCTCTTAACCCTCCTCCTCTACGCCACAACCTCCAAATCCTCCCACAACCGCACCAACACACCGCACCAATCTCCTTCCCCCGGCGATCTTCCTCCGCCGAAAACTCCCTCTCCTCCTCCAATCGCTCAGATCCGCCTCGCCTGTAACGCAACCCGTTTCCCAGATCACTGCTTCACCTCCCTCTCTAAACCGGGTCAGGTCCCACCGGATCCTAAACCGGTTCAGATAATCCACTCGGCGATTTCAGTCTCCTTCGAGAATCTCAAATCCGGCCAATCGAAAATCAAATCGATCCTAGACTCCTCCGCGGGGAATCAAAACAAGACCAACATAGCCACCATTTGCCTCGAGATCCTCTCCTACTCCGCGCACCGCACCGAATCGACGGACGTCGCCGTCACGACCGGCGACATCAAAGACGCCCGCTCGTGGATGAGCGCAGCTCTCGCTTACCAGTACGATTGCTGGGCAGGTCTCAAAACCGTCAACGACACCAAGCAAGTCATCGACACGATCACGTTCCTCGACGACCTCGTGAAACTCACCGGAAATGCGTTGAGCATGATGGTCTCGTTCGACAACTTCGGCGACGAGCTCGCTTCGTGGATCCATCCGGCGACGGAACGAGACGGGTTTTGGGAGAAAGCTGGGCCGAGTTTGGGCTCTGCTAACTTGGGCTTTCCGTCTGGGTTAACGGAAGACGTGACGGTGTGTAAAGACGGAGGGAAAGAGTGCGGTTATAAGACGGTGCAGGAAGCTGTCGACGCAGCGCCGGCAAGTAACGGAACTGTTAAGTTTGTGATACGGATTAGAGAAGGCGTGTATGAGGAAACCGTTAGGATTCCGTTTGAGAAAAAGAACGTCGTCTTCATCGGAGACGGTATGGGCAAAACGGTAATTACAGGATCGGCGAATGTAGGCCAACCAGGGATGACAACGTTCAACTCTGCAACTGTCGGTGAGTGTATGTTAACGTTACCGTTTTATTTTGGAACTTTTCGTTAAATTTTTCTTAAAATTCAGTAATTAATGAAGTAATTAACTAGGAAACATAAAATGGGAAGAACAACAGTAAAGTCAAACATAAATTTGTTCTTTTTTACACTTGCTGTGATCTCTTTTAGTATCTGCCACGTAAAAAAGGAATATTATTTATTGTTATTTAATTGTAAGATTCAAGTTGTATGTAGATTGAATGCGACTGTTCCTGGTTCCTCTGGAGACAGAACAGAACCCATGTGATATTTAGTTTGGAAATATACATTAGATTTTCTAATCATTTATTACACTAAATCAATAAAAACTCAGTTATGTCTTGTAAGATTTGGCCTAAAATCTAAAAAATGTTAATTTTTGTTGTTATCTTATCACCTTTTTTGGTTGTTTTAGGAGTTTTGGGAGATGGATTCATGGCGCGTGATTTAACGATAGAGAACACGGCAGGAGCAGACGCGCACCAAGCGGTTGCGTTTAGATCAGACAGCGATTTCTCAATACTCGATAACTGCGAGTTTCTTGGGAACCAAGACACCGTCTACGCTCACTCTCTTCGCCAGTTCTACAAACAATGTCGAATCCAAGGCAACGTAGACTTCATATTCGGTAACTCAGCTGCCGTGTTCCAAGACTGCAACATCTTGATCGCTTCGAAAAATTCCAAGATCGAGCAAGGAGGCGGCGCAAACAACGCGATCACAGCACACGGGAGGATCGACGCGTCGCAGTCCACGGGGTTCGTGTTCTCGAACTGTACGATTAACGGGACAGAGGAGTACATGAAGGAGTTTCAAGCTAATCCTGAAGGGCATACGAACTATTTGGGAAGACCGTGGAAAGAGTTTTCGAGGACGGTTTTTGTGAATTGTAATCTTGAGTCTTTGATTAGTCCTGATGGATGGTCACCTTGGAGCGGAGACTTCGCGTTAAAGACTTTGTATTACGGTGAGTATAAGAATACCGGTCCGGGATCGGTTAGATCGAAAAGGGTTCCGTGGAGTAGTGAGATACCGGAGAAGCATGTTGGTGTTTACTCTGTCGCCAATTTTATTCAGGCTGATGAGTGGGCTTCGACGACTGCTTGATGTTGTATAAGGAAATGGGGTTTTAGGGTTTTGAAGAGACGAGTCGTCATTGTAACTTTATTGTAGTGTCAAAATATTAGTATATATATTATCAGTGATATTCATAGATATGGGTGGGAAGAGAAGAACATGATCTTTATTACGAAGGTAAACGATAAACCCAGCTCGTGTTGTGGACACTTAACTTGGTAAAGGGCCAGTCTTTTTAGTATTGAGCCCAATAGAATGTCGTAAATCATCATCAAATATTCAAATCCAATGAATTCAAAATGGTTCAATCAGTTAACCAATTTCCCCAATTTAAAACTTTTCTGATCACGACTTTTCCTATGACCAAAACCAAAGACTTTTTGAAATAAGTAATACTAGAACAAAACAAACCCAAAGAATAAAACACAGATCCCAGTTTTCATACTTTGTGGGCGGTTTGTCGAATATGGTCTCATTCGACGAATTATGAGCCAGTCAAAGGCCAGGTCTCAAAGTTGGACTCGTTGAGAGTTTATAATAATCAAAATACTTATATATGTATCTTGTAAGTCGTAACAATCATATATTTAAGAATAGCAACACCTAAGAACCCAAAAATACAATGGTTGGTTCGACGTATGTAGTCAACAAATGTTTATCCAAACGGTATAGTTTATCTTCCATATTCAATAAAAGTGGTCCGGAGCCAGCTCATTCATGGGTTCTTGAGACCATACCAGCCTTTAAACTTATCATACAATAAATAATCAAATGCATGTATTCGTGAGTCTCTAGAAGTCTCCCCTGAAAGGATGGTATAGTAAAAACTCCACTATGTAATCACTTTTTTTATTGGAGACAGTTGATCGGTTCAACAAATTTTAATGACTGTAGCTATTTGAGATTTCATATGGTCTTTAACGCATATGAGGGAAGAGATAAAGATGATTAAGACTTCTATATAGGCTTATGTCTATGTCGTATGTGATGTATTCGAATCTTCTAAAGAAGAAACTGAAATCACATGTAACATCGTTACACATTGTGGGTCGATGGGAACCATATGACGTATTCAACTTTTTTGACAATTTTGGACCCATTTCCAACAGAACAAATCAAAATTCGTATATAGAAAAAGCAATTTCATATCAGTGAATGATACGAACAATATGATTGGAAAATTCAAGAACATCATTATTTGTTTTCACTTTACATTATTAAGAGAATTATAGACTACACATTCAATGAGCAATGAATTGAATCTTTTTTTTAGACTATATTCACTATATTCAAAATTTCAATTTGTTTACAATGTCTTGCTTTTTTTGTTTTTGTTCCTCTCCCTTTAATAATAAAAAAAAATCCTAGTGGGTAAAAGAATTGATCAAAACGGCATGATATGTGTCGTTTTGGTGTCGTAAGCCGAAAGGCATGATCTTGAATTCACCTTGAAGACCTTGAGAAGATCCGTTAACATCCGCCTAACGGCGGGAGAGCAATTGCTCTGTAACAGTAACAGAATCTTCGTAACGCCGTTAGTACTCGTAACTGCTTCAAGCGCCTTCTCTTCTTTGAAAAGATAAGAGACACTCCAAAGCACCGTCACGGCGTGCTCCGTCGCCGCCGTCGACACTTTCATCAGCTTTTTAACAACCGTCTTCAGGCACTCGCCGTCTCCGCCGCAGATTTCCGATCTCCCTTCGTTGGTGGAAGCTAAAGTCTCGAGAAGCTTCAAGCATTTCTCCGTCACCGAAACGCTCGACGTCGTTGGATCAGCAGCTAACAATTTCGTGAGCTCCTTGATGAGTTTCTCTCGGATTAGATTGAGCTTCACGCGTTTCTGTGAACTGATTGCGATCAGAACAGATAAGGTCGATTCGATTAAGCTCGGATCGGAGTCTCCGCTGATTGATTTCATCAGTTCGTTAACTAACCCGTCTCTCTCGGCGATCAACAGCTTCGATTCAGCGTCGACGGCGACGAATTCGAGTAAACCGGCGCAGTCAATCTTCAATTCGACATTCCCGGTTTTGAACAAGAAGATGATTGCCGTCAAACGATCTCGACCGTTGTTTAAAATCAGATTCGAAAACCGTCTCCGATCTGAGATTTTGGTTCGGATCATGCTCAGAATCTTCACCGCCTCTTGAACAACCAGTAATTTAACGGTGGAGGTAGTTTTGAAATCTACCTGGCTCAAGAGATCGGCTAGAAGTCGCACGAAATCGTCTTTCCCGGCGAGAAATCCTTTGTTGTCATCGGATTCTCTCGCGAACCGAAGAATCTTCGACAAAATATCGCGGTCGTATCGCTCTTCCTTCTCGATCGCAGCGGCGATCTCATCCCTCGTCGGAACTGCAGTTTCCGCCGATTCAATACAAGCCCGGCGACGCACGGAATCGGACCAAATTTCAATGAGACGCTGAAGAGTCCGATTAGGAATGAAATCCTTGTTCTGGAGGATTTGCATCGTTGCCGGACAAGTATTGTTCCCGCCGTCGAGCCACCGTTGGATGCTAGCTCGGTCGTAGGTAACGCCGGTGCAGAGACTTACTGGGGATTTCATAACGTCGAGCGAGATAGGACATCGGAAGAAAGTGGGAACGGTGATGTAGAGATCGTCTTTCCTCATTGCTTGGCCGTTGATTTTCCGTTTTGCTCCAGAGAAAGCGTGTGGATTCCGTCAGAGAGAGAGCTCTGTTTGTGTTTAAGAGAGAGAGAGAGTGCGTGGGGTTTGGTTTAAAAGATGAAAGAGAAAAAGAGTCAAACTTTGCTGATGTCAAATTTCACTTTTTTGACGAACGTTTAGTATTAAATATCTTTTTATTGTTATTTTAATGACTAAATCGAATAACTTTTTCTTTTAACGTAAATCGAATAACTCTTTTTTCCTCCCTTTATGCTATTAGAAAACTATACTATAAAATTAGAATATTATTTTAGCACACTCCAAAGTTGAAAAAATATATTCTTATTCAAAAACTGAAATATAATTTAGGCAATATTTTATTATATACAAAAAAAGATTTTATTATAATTATTAGAAGACTCGAATTTATTTTGTTTTTTCACTGTTGGTCGTTGGTCAAAGAAGTCTTTCGGCGCGTTACACTAGTGTACATCACAGCCATCGATCTGGATTTAAAAATATAACGTGTTGAAACGGACGGTGAAGATTTGCGGAAAGTGGATGCATATACAGAAGAAGAGTGGGGTCCACGCTCCACCGTTTGAGCTTTTGGGGGTCCACTTACGTTTTAAACCGCACCGAGTTGGGGTGTGAGATATTGCACGTTTGAGATTTATGAAAATGCGAAAGTTTTTTATATTATTTAGACGACCTTTGAATTGGGTATTTTCTATAGTTTCCCGTCATTTCTTATTTCTTAGTTTCCAGTCCACATTTCACACATTGGAAATTTTATGGAATCCAAAACGCGTCAATATATAATCTAATACGTACATGTCCAAGTAGTATATAGCTGCTGTTAGATATCTTTATTCGACAAAAGAGGTCCAAGCATTATTTTATACTACACAAAATATTGCTATTATGTATACTTTTGTAAATTGTGAAAGTCTAGGCACATAACACAATAATATCTAATAATAATTGGAAAAGATATTACGCAAAAGAAGAAAAGGAGAATAAATGAACAAAATTGTTCAATTGACCGGACAGATTCTATGGGCTAATGCATCTTTTGTTGCTTCTCCACTTCTGTTTGTTTTATGTCCGCAACTAGCACTACATGACGTGGCGCCTTTATTCTCAAGAACACTCTTTGGACACTTGTTTTTAGACTTGTCTAGTTATGTTCATTACAAGTTCACCCAGAGACCGGTTTACCTTTTAGAGTTAAGTAAATGTCATAACGTATTTTCACCTAAAGGAGGGGCTAAAATGTTGTTTCAGCTTCCTTTAGATCCATGATCATTTGTTAAAGAATTGAGGCACGTCATCCTTTTTTTATCCTATTGTGACAAAAAAAAGATTTAACTATATTAACAAGCAGTATGTAATTGACTAATTGTGTATTACAAGTCAGACTCCGACTCCTGTGACATGCAAATCCTTCCAAGTCAAAATATAAGTCAAAGTAGTGATACTGATCATCAAAACTAAACAGCGTGCATTGAACAGTGATTTTACATTGTGATTTTGTGAATTTCCTTTTCAAATCAAAATACAAATAATGAATACACTAATTGCTTGCACGTGAGAGGCTGCGTGTAGTGGTTGATTCAAACACTAACGAACCCGCACGTTTTAGTTGGTCTACATGAATGTCATACACCAAAAATGAATCCGTGGAAGTTTTTATAAGTTGAACTACTACCTTTTCGACTACTAATGGTAGTAATGGCCACACATTTAACCTCTCGCCGAACTTTTTATATATATTCTGGTCTATTTTCTTAACTATTTGCGGAAAGATAATTCAAACATTCAAATTTGAATGATAAATCATGATGCTCTAACGTAAAATCAAAGTCCATGATCATGTATAGACTATTAAAACCCCTTTTCAGTCATTTTTGTATAATAAATTAACAATCTCAGGACATGGCTTTTGTTGCTTTTTCAATGGGCCTCTCAGCCTTAAATTTAGTCATAGCCCATTTGATTTGTCTCTTCCTTTATTCCATACTTAAGTGTATACAGTACATAATACATATCTAAGAATGAATGGACTTATGCACATGCGCTCTTATACAACAAAATGACTGAAAATAATTCACATATATTATAGTATATACTAGTATTACTTTGGTAAATTTATTCGAGCCATAACTAAACGGGTAGAAAAATAGTAATACGCTGTTTGCAGCGTTTAATTTCCAGAGCCAGAGGAAATTTTCGTGCCGTTTTTAGTTTCTTGATAACACAAACATGACGTCCAAAGTGCCTTGTTGTGGTCCTTCTTAAGGTAAAGCCGTTAGCTTTGACATATTACGTTTTGCGAGAAGACAGAAACGACGCGAAACCATAGCACGTGTGCGATCTGTGTTTCTACTTTCTACTATAGTGGTCAAAGTCAAACAAGGTCTTCCAAACCAAGCAGATTTATTATTGTTACACTGTTGTGAGGGGAAAAAATGAAACATTTATCGGTAGGTAATCTTTGGGATTATTTATAAAACACCCTATTAGCAATCCCACTCATTATTACTTGGTTTTAAATTATGAATCCATACAACTATTTTCTCGTCGATTGGTCATAATTAGCATCCCTATTTGATGCCTTTTGTAGTGTCGCATTTTATGTAGATTACTAGATTCACGTAATAAAGTTTATATTGTATAGCACTCGCTGCACTCCATCAACTATTGATCCTTGCAGTATTGATTTAGTTTATAGATTTAATATTTAGAAGTTATTATACACAAGCCTCTATTTATAATGGGAAAATGTAGATGAGTTTTACTGCATGCCAGCCTCAGAAACGATATTTGGTGCGACATGGTCATGTGAATATGGTCACTTTCAATGAGTATCTGTGACTCGCGCGATTCAAGAGTTCATGACTCGTGATTTAACTCAAGAGTCATGCCTCGCACCACCTTTACCCCGACCGTTCCGTACACTCGACGCGTATTCAAGTACGTAACGCTGGTTTCTTCACGAATATAATACTACTATCTTAAGAAGCTTCTCGCTCACACAAGTACGACCGCACGTGTGTGTGCATGTTACAGATGAGCTGTCAAGATTTATGGAGAAATTAATGACTATTCTGAATGGCGATGAGTCTTGCGTTTACTACACTAACAACAACACAAACACGGTCAATGTGTTACTAATCAGTCGCTAAACATATATCTTTAGTTGTCTGATAAAGTACACCCGATTACCACTAGCTAGTAATAGTATACAGTTGATATTTAGAGTTATGATACTACATTATATTAATCAATGGTCCATAACTATACTCGACTAGAAACATGTAGTACAACCAATCTAGGGATTAGCTAGAAATTGTCAGTCAGTTTCGTGTTGGCCTGAGTTAAAATTATTTTCCCTTGAGTGAAATTAAATAAAAACGGACAAGTACGATTGCTAGATTTGTAACAGGAGTAGCTAAGACGTGGTCAGTGTTTGAAATAGTAAAGAAAGGTATGGGACTTAGACCAACTTTCGATTTCAACTGTTGTTACTGACATTACTACGACTCTCTTCTATTTTTTATACTTTCTGTTCTTCTACTCCTTCTCCTAGATAGGGATAATTAATATGGTCATTTTAACTCCATGTTAATGGAATATCGTTTTCTTTCCTTTTCTCCATGAAAAAAAAAATAAATAAATAAATTATTAGACGCTTGATTTGGTAAGTAATCTAAGCAACAAGACTAGTTAGTGTCGCAATATTTAGCATCTATTCGATTTCTCAGTACAAGAGTGAATGAAAAGTAATAAAACCGTGTAAAAGGCAGACGATGCATTCACATGATCAAAATAAGAGATTGAAATAGCAAGAACGGTGATTGATGTATGCACTGTATACATACGCGTGTCTATACAAAATATAGTAAAATATATGCATTTCAAGTAGCTTGGATTGAGGAAGATTTTGCAATAAAGTTTGAATAGTTGCTATGCTGTGACATAATTATAATCGGTCACTATATTTAGACTGGGGCCTATCATGTTCACTCCTAATCAAAGAAAACTATAAATGTAACATAATTATAATAATATAAAGTTTTGAGTCTTGACATAACATATAAAAGGCTTTACCTTACCATTTCACTTTATATCAGTATTATTTTCTCTTTGCCTACTCTCTCCGTTCTTTCTTTTTCATTGAACATGGGTGATAAAAACATTACATCTAATTTAATATATAATTTTAATTTTAACAAAAAGGCATTTGTAGCAACAAATGAATACTGAACCTAGTTTTCTTTCTCGATTATGATATTTAGAATTGTAAATAACGAAATAAGTGATTTAGAGAAGAAAAATGGTTGAAATTCCTTATTCAATCAAGAATCTTGTAAACAATAGTTGCAATGCTACTTTTGCCGAAGTATAATAACTTCTACGCAGAAAAGAGAATATTTTTTAAGCAAACTATTCACAAGAGAAAAACACATTATTGCGCCGTACAAACGTCTTTTCTCAGTTCCATAAGATGATTATCTAGATACATATCATCATCATAACAGTTGCTAAACTTACAGTACATTGTTCTAAACATTGCGGTAGCATTATTGATGAATGTAATACAAATTAACAGTGGGATGTTTCGTTATTTCAATAATTTTTGCATAATAGCGAAAGACGAATATGGAGTATACAAAAAGTTTCTGCTTTCACAGCATTCACTATAACTTTCCCTCTTCAGGAAACAAAATTTACTTTCCAGCTATTTTCACATTTTTACCCTTAATTTTCATACAATATGTAAATTGAAGCTAATCTTAAATTCGGACAAATCATCCCTTGACCTAAATGCTCCAGCTAGCCCAAACCACCTGATGACAACAAGCCATTTTTGTGCTCCTCTACTTGAGAATTTGTTTTCCAATTTGAGATCTTGGCCTGAGTTTATTCCTAAATATGACTACGACTATGTAATATGATAGGCTATAAATAAAGATTGACGTCAATTCTTGGACAAATTCGAGCATGTTTCAAAGCTTTGGATGAGTCTCAATAAAAGTCACAACCATCATAAAATTTTAAGAATCGTATGCTTTTTTTTTCCACTGCAGCAAAAAAGAAAAATTATAACCTAAAACCTCTACAATTATGAGTCTAAAAAACCTAACACTAAACAGAACTTCGGCGTGTAGACCAAAAGAACTTGCAACAACTACAACAAGTCAACAACTACTTGCATGGTTCGTGATTTATTCAACATAAATTTGAAAATAAATGAAAATATCAGAACTAATTAAATACACATAAAACCTCTTCGTCAGATTCTCTCTCTTTCCCTCTTTCAATATCCATCTGCCCATATTTCTTGCTGTCAACAAAATTCATTCACCAATCTTCTTTTCCCCCATCAACAACAAACAAAAACAACAAAGTCCTTTCCCAATATTAAAACATATTCACCAAAAACCCTTCCACAAGAAACCTCTCTTCAACAATGTCTTCTCGAAACCTAAGATCAAGAATCCGCTCCATTCTTCTTCTTCTCCTTCTTCTTATTGGTTTCTGCGATGGAGCAAGAACAAGTACGAACGTCTTCAGCTCGAAACCACACAAGGAAGAAAACGACGTCGGCGTTGTTTCGTCTTCGTCTAGACAGTTCTTGGGATTCTTGCCACGTCACTTCCCTGTGCCAGCTTCTGGTCCCTCAAGAAAACATAATGATATCGGTTTACTCAGTTGGCATCGATCTTCTCCGTGAAAAAGCTTAAAGGTCATAACTTCGTTTTTTTATTAATTGATTTTCTCTCTTTTATTTTGAGTTCCTCTTTTGCCCCCATTGCTTTTGAATCTTAAGCTGGTGTAAATGGTTTTATCTTTTTGTTTGTGATGCCAAGAAAATGGGGTTTTGGTTCGATTTATGTCGACGAAACAAAACATGATCTATTATGAATTTGTAACCGGAGATTGTAATTTTTTTTGTTTTTGTTTTGGATAACTCGAATTTGTAATATTGCTTGGATCGAAAGTGTAAGAGCGGATCATCTTCATGAGATACACTAGTTCTTCTTATTACGATCATTTCGAGTGAAGAAAAATTTAATTATAATTTGTTCGAAATTGACCGTGTCTTTGACAAGGACTAATTATAGTGTTTGTAAAAGAACGGGTCAAATCGTTAAAAATATAAAGAGAACTGAAACATACAATGTACCTAACTAAAATGTCTGATGCAGATTGGTCGTGACTCCCTAATCTACTTTTTTGGGGATCTACTTATTTGTTTGATTATAACCAATAATGTCTTTAAAATGTCCAATGTGATGGACCAACAACGGTTGAGTCTTATTATATAGCCATTTGACATTTCTAAAGAAAGAGTCAAACATAATTGCTCCTTGAGCCCGTCCCTTGTGTATTCTCTTTAAGCATTTGTGAAGCAGAATATTTTGAATCTACATTGTAATACTCGTCTCTGGTTCCTCAACGTTCTTCATGAATGGGTCCTTTATCCCAAAACAACAAGTACGGAAATGCTAAAGAATCTCAGAAATATTTGAATGAGAAAGACCTTATTTGTCAAATGAGAAATCCGACATTCTCAATTTTCGTGCAACAACACAAACAAGAAACATGAAACCTTAAAAGCCAACCAAGAATCAAGATTCAACAAGAGTCTCAACTTTGTTCTCCTCAGCTGCAAAAAACGGAATCGGTTTCTTTGGAGCGGGAAGACGTCCGATACTATCAACCCTATCTTGTTGTTTGGGAGGAGGTCTCGCTGCTCTAGGCAACAACCTTCCTTTCTTCTCAAACCATTCTGGTGTCAGCAATGCCTTCAAACCCAATTTGTTGTAATGCACTCTTCTCACTGATCCTCCCGTTGCCTCCACCACCTCTTTGGCCCTAACCGTCACTCTCGAAACCTGTAATAAGACATGCCGTTCCCGATTAATTCAAGCGAATTCATGGACTAACGCAATGACAACGAGGAAATGGTTAACACTATATAGAGCAAAAGGTTCCAAAATTCAAATGGTAACCTCGAAATGGAGTGGCCATTTGATCTCATCAGCACCACGACCCATTAGTCTTACTCCGTCTTCTATTTGCTTTCCTATAGCTCCCACATCCTGCACACCGGCGTTAATCGTTTAGTAAGCAGCAGAGACATGAATAAATCATCAACTCAGGTTTAAATGAAACTGTGGAGAGTGTGACCGAACCTTGAGCGTTTTCATTGTGATCAATTCATGAGAATCTATCATCCCAGCGTTTATAAGTTTAGCGATCTTTCCTAGACCAACCGGCTGCATCACACAACAAACATATACATCTTTAGTTGCTGCATCCATAGAGTGTCAAATTCAACCCTTAGACCACAGTATCATCTACTTCACCACAAGCAGCTAAAACACAGCATTATTGGCATCCAGAGAGAAGAATAAGAGTGACACATCTGATCTAGCTTCTCATTTCGATCTTATCTAATGATACCACAACATTCCTGTAATATTCGAATCCGTTGAGACAAGAAAATCATAGATTTTGATAAACCAAAGAGCTAAGCACCAGAGAAACAAGTCCTAGAGCGAAAGGCAGAAGCTTTTTACCTGGAAATGGAGCTTAAATTTGTTCTTGAAGCCACGTTTGGGCAAACGGCGTCGTAGTGGAGTCTGTCCACCTTCGAATCCAAACTTCATCGTTCCTCTGGCTTTTTGCCCCTTGTGACCTCTTCCAGCAGTTTTACCTTTACCAGACCCAATACCTCTTCCTTTCCTCGTCTTGAGTTTTCTGGGCACATTGTCTCTCAGATCGTTCAAGCTCAATAAACTGTAAGACCTGATTCCCTGAAACGATGAAGCTCTGCTCGCCAAGCTAGGAATTTGAGTGAGCATCGGAGATTGACGGCATTGCAGAAGTGGGGAAGAGATGAATCTGGGTTTGGCGGTGTGATGAATCGATGAATTGATGAGAGATGTTGATATGATCGAAGAGATTCTTCTTCTAATCATTTCTTCAATTGCAGATCAAGCAGATTTTGGTTTCGAGATTTCTGAAATGCGATTATTCCATTTGGGGATTTAGGGTTTATGAGTTTTTTAGTTGAGAGCTTCTCTGAATCATTTTCATACGTTGCAGCCAGTTCTTCTCGTATGGGCTATTGCAATCATATTCTTCTAAAAGGCCCATTTATAGCCCATTACTCGATTGAATTGTCCGGTTTAGTACGAGAACCAATTTTATATTCTCCACAAACTCACTCTAAACCACGTCGTTTTGAGTGAACTCACAAGGAAAATAAACAGATAAAATCATAAATTGGCAAAGGGTTTAGGTCATCGTCGCTCCGAATTTCTCCGGCAACTCTTCTCTCTCTTCTTTCGCCGTCGACGAAGAGAGCTTCTTTTTCAGGTTAACCCCCATTCTGAATTGGCTTTCTCGTTTAGAATCTGCCTTCAATTTCGCATTTTGTTTACTAATTTATCCATGTCTCGACCTTCTGACGAGTTTATAATTGTGATTTTGATCGTGTAGCAGCTATGAAGTAGTAGGATTGAGTTCTCTGTTCTTGTTTATTATACGGTAAAAGCTCTCTGTGGAGATTACATCGTCAATTTTTTTTTTTCGATTTTTACAGGTTTGTAAAAACTAAAGAGCTGAGAGAGACTTGAAAAGAGATGGCATTCGATTACAAACCTTCCGAAGATTTCATAGTCAATAACTTACAGCCGCTCGTCGACTTTGATTTGACGGGATCGAAGGAGCTTTGGCTTATCCAGTGCCCTATTAGTCAAGTATGTGTTGAGAATGAATTGAAAACCTGTTGCTAATTTGGACTGAATATGCTTACTCAAAGCAATTGATCATAGTGTAGTGTTCTGCAACTAAAAAGGGGTTTCTTTTGGTTTTTCAGATTCCGGAAATCGAAGGGAAGGAGTTTAAGGTTAAGCTAGATAAAGATGGCGTATTGGGAGGATTTGAGGATTCATCTGGTTAGTTTTTTGTGATTTTGGTTCACTTTGGTTTTGTGTTCATTCTTTGCAAAGTTTGCTCATTGCCTTTGTTTACAATCCTCTGGAATTGATAGGTAATGAGGTTGAACTCGTTAGCTTTGCTTCTCAAGATGCTGATCCAGCTGTGATTATACCATCTCAAGAAGAATCAAAAATCGGTACATTTACTTTCATTGCTTCTGTAGTAACTGGTCTTAGGTCTTTATCGTGTTCAGTGACATAGCCTTGCCTTGTGTGTGTTTATGGCAGTTGGGAAGATTTCGCGGAGAGTGTCCTTAGTTCGTTACCCTGAGCCAAAAGAGCTGGTTGAGGCAGTGAAGGCCAAAACCCAACAGAAGCTTGTAGGAGCAGTGACGAATTCCTCTGGAAAATTCTCAGCCTTGGCTAAAAGCAGCCGGGCTAAAAGCGGACAGTCAGGTCTTCGACATTCAGCTTCCACGCGTAGCAGCAGACAGAAGAGCTCCATGCCTAGCTTGAGCGAGACTCCCAAGTCTTCAAAAAGGAAGCATTCAGAGACCTCCTCAGGGAAACATCAGGGCTCCACAAGTACGGTTTCAGGCTCTTCAGATCGAACGGGTAAGTCGAAGAAGAAAGTCAAGACTGAAGACAAGTAAAGATATTCGTTTTTTATTTTTTCACAAGAGAGTTTTGTGTTGATGGTTATAACTTATAAGATTTTTGAATTGGATTTATGTAGACGATTAAGCAACCAGTATTGTATTCAAATCCATAACTTATTTCGCTCTATATGCTTATGAAATCTTAGTGAGATGCAGTTAAAACAAAAGCTATGGTTTGTTGTTCTTTTGTTGTCTTCAAGCATCTGTGGTTGGAGGAGTTGTTGTTGCAGAGACTTGTGTAATTGGCTTCCATTGTTGTGGAGTCTGAGCTTTCTTAATGGAGAGAGCATGGATTTGTTTCATCTCTTCTTCAAGAGCAGCATTCACTATGCGGTGCCTCTCGAGCAGTCTCTTCCCTTCAAACTGTTCCGAGACAATCTCAACAGCAAAACTTGCGCCGCAGCTAGAAGAAGAAAGGTGATAGGTTATAAGATTGAGAAGACAAATTCGAAAAGAAAGATTGAGCATGGACTTTACCCTCCAGATGTGTCAATGACTTCCTGATTTTGCACAGTTAAGAAACCAAATCAGTGATATATACAGAGAAATATCACAAGACCAACTAATTGCATCAAAATCAAAAAGCTAAATGTGGATCTAATCAGCACAAACCACATAAAAGTGAATACGATACAATCCTAGAACCAAACAAAATCCATAAGATTGTCTTAGAGCTAGATGAGTATGATCCAAGTAAAGTTTTAATTTTTATTAACAGATCACTTGAAAATTTTCAAATCATCGTTATCTGCAACTCCATTTTCTTCCTATAGCGAAGAACAGATGAAGAACGTGTGATCGATCAAAGATCTTTGCTTGTCGACAGATTCAGTAACCGTGAGTAAGAAAAAGAATCGCAGGTAAGGATCAGTTGACTTACCAAATGAAGAGGGTTGAGTTTCGAAGTCAACGAAGCTTCGACTTGTTCCTTTGTCACACCCATATCTCTCTCTCTCTCTCTCTCTCTCTCTCTCTCTCTCTCTCTCTCTCTCTCTCTCTCTCTCTCTCTCTCTCTTTCTCTCTGCGTAAACTTTGTAAAAGCTTTCTATGATCAAGTCCTTTGCGATAAATGGTTCAGCCGAGTGAATCCGATACCCAACCCGGATTTATTCTCTTCTTTATAACTTAATGATATTCGATAATATCCATTAGCACAAAAAACAGGTAAGGAATCTGTCTGATAATTACGTACGTTCATAAATTGATTTTTTTTTATGCTTAAAAGTCAAAACTTTACAAAGTCAAACCACCATCACGTCAATAGACTGAAGAACAGAGAACCTTATTTTGAAAACACTTACGGTTATTGTATCTAAGACAACTCAAACAATATAAGATTGAGAAAGTTGGAGAAGAGGTGACAAATTCGAAAAGAAAGATTGATCATTGACTTTACCCTCCAGATGCGCCAATGACTTGCTGATTTTACATAGACGCAAAAAGAAACAGATGAGTAATATATACAGAGCAGAGAAATATTTTGGATCAAACTCAATGATCTTCTCCGTTGTGTGTGAATATGACTGGGAGAAAGATGATCTTGAGGTCCAGTATCTGACTTTTTCCATAGTTGAATTACTTTTGCCGTCAGAAATCTTACACATCTCCGTTAGTTTCAGGAACTCGCTGACTAGGCTAGATATCCCAGTGGAGTTACTTTCTACCACATCTTACACATAAAGTCGAGTGGAATCTAGTTCCGGTCATGCGTGATAGCTTTCCTAGACTACAAGTCACCAGGCTCATTCGTGTAAGGAATCAAATCATCGTTATTAGTTGATTTCATTTGAAGTTTGCGTTAGTACAGTCAACTTTGATGATGTTTCCACACTCTCGTTTGCCTCAACAGCAACACGGTGGTGGTCACTCTCATTGGCCTGCCGGACCGAACCATCCTATGAACAACGGACCACCACCACAAGTACTTGCACAAGCACAATATGGACAGTAAGAGAGCTCAAAGACTCTCATTCATATGGTCTAGTCTTGGCTTGATGTCGTAAGAGGCAAGTAATGAAGACTTTATCCTTCGAGAAACAGAATCTAAGAGGCAAAGTAATGAAGACTTTAACTAGTAGCTGCCATTTGTCTTTCAAAACATAAAGTAAGTAGTAGTTACTCGTACACAAAGTAACTCGTACAAGGCAAACCATTTGTCTTCCAAAACACAGAGTCATCGTGGCATTTGTCTTTATGGTTTTGTAAAATGAAAGAAAAAAACAAATAGCCCAAAAAGAAAGAAAAATCATTGAGAAGTAACTTGAGGAATAAGTCGTACACAAAGTCACAAAGTAGTAGCTGCCATTTGTCCTTTCAAAACACAAAGTAACTCGTACAAGGCAAAGCAAAGCATTTGTCTCTCAAAACATAAATAGATAAATAAAACAGCAGATCACAATTAATCAAAGCGCTTCATCACCGCTTCAACGAAGTCCGCTTCAGTCATCTTCATGAGATCTTTCGGCTTCATCTTGTCTTTCTCCATGAACCAACGGGCCACCACTCCTGCGATTTCATCTTCTGTCCATTCTCCCGTTTCAGCCATTTCCTGGCATTTGTCGAAGACTGCCGATGCTTCATCGATCAGTTTTGCATTCCCCATCGACTTTTCTTCCTCCTGCAAAAAAAAAAAACACAAACAAAACCCACAAAATCACTATCCTCTGTTCGGATTCACCACAAAATCACTCTGTTAATTCCTAAAAGATGCAGCTTTAACTCACACGCACAAAGCCTCAAAATTTCAATCAAAGCCTAAAATTTCAAAGCAGAACCTAAAATTTCGAAATGTTCAACGATAAATCAATTACTTGTGGCCTTATTTACCGAAAGATGCAAGCTTTTCAGTACACAAACCCTAAAATTTCAAGCAAAACCCTAAAATTTCGAAATGTTCAAGGATAAATCAAATACTTGTGGCCTTATTTACCGAAAGATGCAAGCTTTTCAGCACACAAACCCTAAAACTTCAAGCAAGGTCAAAGCAACTATGGGAACAAAATCGAAACAACCTATAACATGATAAATCAAATTATAACCATATAGATTCCAGATCTATGCTCCTAAACTATCCTAGGCTTCGTTAACACCAAAATAAATGAACAAAAACCTGTTTCTTGCACTGGACAGTCAGTTTCACGTTGAATCTGGTTTTCGTCTTGACCCTCATGCCCATGCTGCTCGAAGAACGGGGAGAGGAACTCGGAGAAGGAGGAGGGAAACGCAAAGGAGGAGCTGAGAAAGTAGCTAAAGTAGGAAGAGGAGCCATGGAAGAAGAGTAAAGAAGAACTTCGAGAAGAACAGAAAGGATCTTTCTTCGTTGACAACAAAAGCTCTTTAATTTTTCTTTTTGGCCTAGTTCTGAGATAAGAGAGTATCCTACATTTAATAGTAAGGTGCAAAGAAAAATATGTGAACCAAAAAAAAAACAAAAAGTAAAGGACGAAGAAAAAGCTCGCTCCCCGAGTCCGGACTCGTTAAATTTTGGTCTCTCCAAAAGCAACAAGCTTGCCTATTTTCAAAAGCAATCCTTTTTCACCTTTTCACCTTCTTTTTTCACTCAGCTTTTGAAAAGCAATTCTTTTTATTGGATGAAAATTTATTTATTTTTTATATCTAAAACTTGGATCGACCATTTGATGCAATTACGTTTGTAATCCGAAACACTCGTTTGTAGAAAAATATGCCAATTGTTTTGTTTTTTCCGATTCCAAACATTTGTTTGACCAACACGTTTTTTTTTTTATTCAGTTAGCGTGTGATTCTTGAAATGAACCGATGTTTGACCGGAATTAACCGCATTAAAAATAATTTAATCACAGTTACAATACCGTTTTCACGCAATAGAAGAAGAAAAAACGAATCCGCTGAGTTAACTCGTTCGTGTAACCCCAACGATTTCACCTTTACATAGTACTTTACAAGTTTCGTCTTTCTCTTCTACTCAATTGCTACACATCAACACATATTAAAAACGTGTGACTATGTTCTTACTTTTCTTTCCTCTATTCACAACAGACTCCGATCACCTCTGTTTCTTAGATTCTGGTCTCAGAGAATCGTCGTTCTCTTCGGTACTCCGGTCAATCCCGAAACACTTAAGAAACGCAGTTCCAGCTAGCTGAAACAAATTACACGGATGATGCAAGTTACTACTCGAATCTTTCTCTAACGGACGTTCTTCTCCCTCTGTTCTCGTGACTCTCATTGTTGCAGCTGGTGCTATCTCTCCTTTTATGGCCTGTGAACTTCCTACCTGTCATGACAAAAGCAACGAGTACGATGAATCTAAGAAATGAAACATAATATCAAAAGATTCAACACGAATGCGTGTCACGCTGAATCAAAGAAAACGAGTATGTGTCACACTAACTTTGGAGAGGATTATTTAGATAAACCATCATAATCAGACAAGGAAGAAGCCATTGGAGGAAGTTAATTGTTTACTTAGAAAGACAAATTTAGAAGATAACTGTTACTTGAAGATAATATTAGACGTCGCTTGTGAAAACTAAGCAAAGCAAATCTTTAACGATAAGGAACAAACATTTGTCAACTACCAGCAAAATGGGGAAAGGACAAACAACAAAAAAATCAAGAACTTTGAAACATGGACTGAAAGGTCACAACACGTATAAACTTGAAATTTAACCTCAATGTTAAGATCTTAGCCAATGAATCTCAGTGCTTATACAGTTTTGTGCTAATGACAATCGAACTCATTAGCTTCAGCTATATGATCCAACATTCATAATTAGGAATCCTCATTTCCTATCTTTTGATTACTCTTACTATCTGCTAATTTCAGGACACAGCAATTTGAAAAGTTTTCAACTTTTCGAACTCATTACATATTTACATTCAAATGTGGCTACTCTCCAGCTAATTCTGGCTGCCACTTTCTCTATTACTCTTAATTGCTATCTAAGCCCTCAAGATTTAGCAACACCCTAAAAATTCCCCTATTTCTTTGTTCCCATTCCCAGAAACCATAATGAAGATAGAAAGAACATCGATCTCTCTGAAATCTGCCCGGACTACTAAGTAATTTAAAATTTAAGCGAAAAATCAAGTGGAAGCACAAAATGAATAATTGCATTCGCCGGAATAGTAAATCTCAATCCGAGAAACGAGCCGAAAAAAGCAAGTCAACGTAAAGCAAGGTACGACTCGAATCCGTGATTCGTCGACGAAATTGAAAGAGACAGATAGTTGAGCTACCTGATTAGACTGTACGAGACTCGAATTGACGGAAAACCCCAAGCCGCGGTGGTGGCTGATCGGAATCTGATTTCCAGAAATTAATCGCCGAGAAAGAGATGAGCAGGAGGTAGAAGACATGGAATCAGCAGATGAGCAAGTGTTGTCGCTGATATCTGAAGATACGATTCCGAAGACAACAAGGAGGAGTAAGAGGAGGAAGAAGACGAACATTTGAATCCATATGAGCCATGGGATATTGTAGCTGTCCACCATCAGAAACTCTTCCCCGGAATTCACCATTTCTCGAGAAAGATAAGAAAACTCGGGAAGATGGATTCTCACTGAGAATCTCTTTGAGGAAACGATTGAGGAAGACGAAGAAGACAATCAACGGAAGACGACGAGGAGTTTGGGTGGGTGGGGATAAAGATAAAGCGACGGAGCTGTGATTATCCGAAGATTTGAAGATCATCGCGAGAAAATAACGGCAACAGTTGGTAGCCCACGTGTAACACGCTGATTGGTTTAAAAGGCGAAAACACGCGATCTTGGTAAATCAATTTTTTCAAAGGTTTTTCCCCTCTAATTTGGTGTAATTTTTTTTTTTAGTGTTTAACTGTTTACTGTTTAGTATGTAATTTTGAATAAGTTATTACTGGGTTATTCAATTATATTAGCTGTGAGAAACTTGTCTGCTAAATTTATTGCGGTTGGTGGACTTGCCCTGTATTTTTCAGATTTGGATTGTGACTAGTAGTCAATTTTCTAAAATAAGTATGCATACATCATTACAAACTTAGCCTACAATAACTATTATGAACATGACAATGGTAGTAGATTAAATTACTATACTACTGACTAATGTACGTCTTTAAGTTATAAGTAGATTTAGACCATAAACCTTTCTACTTAATTTAAAAAATAGATTAACAGGAGTTTATTATTAAATCTTTTTGCAATAAATTATGGAATACAAACTACTCAGATTTATCATACGTACTTTACATGCAATATATATGTCCAACCTTTATTGGATGCTCCACCTAATTTAATATTCATCCACCAGTATATCCAAACATAAAACACTATTAAAAATCTATAATAAAGTATATATGCGTGGATTTATCATATAAAATTTATGTTGCGATATATCCAAAGTCCAAACTATAAGTCATTATCGTCAATTATATAAATTTGTAATAAATGTCCATGTTTAGAAGAAGAAAAAAAACGTAGAAGGTAGTACCAAAAGGATAAGCATAGCATACAACAAATATAGAAATTAGTAGACGTTGACAAAAAAAATTAAAGAAAATTAGGGGATAATTACGCAAACAAAAGGAATTGTTTTGCGACCTACCAGGAAATTAAAGAGAATATTTCTTTCTTTTTCGATATGTACGCGTATTGAGGTCTTCTATATAAGTACGTATTAGAATCTTAAACATCTCTCTCTACACACAAAGAAACTCGTTTCAGAAAAATCCCTAAATCCCCCTAAAGAAACCCTAATTACTACAAAGAAGAGGAACAATGAGTTACAGAGTCGCAAGAGCGTCGGAGTATCTCGCGATCACCGGTGGTGGGATCAAAGACATTAAGCTCGCGAAGAAGTCTTGGGTGTTTCCATGGCAGTCTTGCACCGTCTTCGACGTTTCTCCGGTCAACTACACGTTCGAGGTTCAGGCCATGAGTTCCGAGAAACTCCCTTTTGTCATCCCCGCCGTTTTCACCATCGGTCCGCGCGTCGATGACCCTCACGCTCTTCTCCTCTACGCCATGCTCATGTCTCAACACGACAAGCACTCGAATCACGTCAATGAGCTCGTTGAAGGTGTCATCGAAGGAGAGACCCGTGTCCTCGTCGCCTCCATGACCATGGAAGAGGTCTTCAAAGGTAACAAACAATACCCCTCTTTAATTTTCTCTGTTTCTCATCGGAATCTTGCCTGAACTAGTTAAATTTCTAGACCTAAATTGGATTTTTTGCTCTGTTTTTGATTTATGTTTGTTTGAGTTTGTAATCACTAACTCAAAATCCGAATTGTGGCATTGTAGGAACAAAGGAGTTTAAGAAGGAGGTGTTTGACAAGGTCCAGCTTGAGCTTAACCAGTTTGGTCTAGTGATCTACAACGCCAACGTGAAGCAGCTCGTTGACGTGCCTGGACATGAGTACTTCTCTTACTTGGGTCAGAAGACTCAGATGGAAGCAGCAAACCAAGCCAAGATCGATGTAGCTGAGGCTAAGATGAAGGGAGAGGTCGGAGCCAAGGAACGGACTGGTCTCACCATCCAGAACGCAGCCAAGATCGACGCAGAGTCAAAGATCATCTCCACTCAGAGGCTAGGAGAAGGGACAAAGGAAGAGATCAAGGTCAAGACTGAGATCCAAGTGTTTCAGAACGAGAAGGCGGCTCTTGTTGCTCAGGCTGATGCTGCATTGGCGATCCAAAAGGCTTCTCTGACTAAAAACTCTCGTGTGGCTGAGGTTGAAGCGACCAAGGCTGTTGCTTTGAGGGAAGCTGAGCTTCAGACCCAAGTCGAAAAGTTGAATGCTTTGACTCAGACTGAGAAGCTTAAAGCCGAGTTCCTCAGTAAAGCCAGTGTTGAGTACGAGACCAAGGTGCAAGAAGCGAACTGGGAGTTGTACAATAAGCAAAAGCAAGCGGAGGCTGTTCTTTACGAGAAGCAGAAGCAAGCGGAGGCCATGAAAGCTGCAGCTGATGCTGCCTTCTACTCGAAACAGAGAGATGCAGAGGGTCTTGTAGCCATGGCCAATGCTCAGGGGACTTATCTAAAGACTCTCTTGGGCGCTGTTAACAATGATTACTCGGCCATGAGAGACTTCTTGATGATCAACAATGGAATCTATCAAGACATCGCCAAGACCAATGCGGTTGCGATCAGGGACTTGCAGCCTAAGATCAGTGTGTGGAACCATGGTGGTGCCGATCAGGGGATGAACGGTGGTGGTAATGGTAACGGTATGAAGGATATTGCTGGACTCTACAAGATGTTGCCACCGGTTCTTGATACGGTTTATGAGCAGACCGGGATGCAGCCACCGGCTTGGATTGGTACGCTACGTGGTACTGAGCCTAAACAATCACTTCAATCTCAGCAACACAGAGGTTGATTGGTTGATTGAGATCTCAAGAGTGCTTTTGTTTTTGTTTTTATTTTAGCTTTTAGGGGTTTTTATGATGATAAGCATCTGACAAATGTGATCTTCCGAGGTTGTCTCAGTTTGTTACTTTGACATTATGGATCTTTTGGTTTTTATCAAGTGTGTTTAATTAATACTACTATTAATTATTGCTTGCTGAAATCACCTTTTTTGTTTCTTTCTTTATAATCCAAGGAGTACTGTTATCTAAGAGCATCTTTAGTTGAATATATTTTGAAGGGTAAAATTAAAAGCTAAGAACACTTGTAAATGGCGCCATTCAATGATTTTACAGAGATTATTCGGCTTAAAAATTTGCAATTCCAGTGTGATCTAACTTTGGATCTCGGGTTCTAAAGGTATTTTAATTCAGTCTCGTCGGTGGAATTGGGGCCCATAGAAAAAGCCCATTATACGGCCTTGAAAATGGCGCCATTCACGAGATTTGCTCTCACGTGATCTCTCACACTTCACAGTCCACTCTCTCTGTCTCCCAAAGGAACAAAATATCTTCTTTTGTGTTTGATGATCACCATCGATGACGACGATACTTAGCTCGTCTCCTTCACTGTGCTCTCTCAAGCTTTTCCGATTATCCTCTCGAGAATCTTTGATCGACGCAGCTTTCCTCGGGAACAGGACAAAGCCGTCGCGGTCTTTCCATCTCCGGCTCCGAATGGAGGCCGTTTCGAGCATTTCAACTTCCCTTTCGTGTATTAGCGTCGGTGAAGACTTTCCAGCAGAATACGAGCAGTGGCTTCCGGTTCCGGACCCAGAAACCCGAAGAAGAGCCGGCGTTTTGCTCCACCCGACGTCGTTTCGCGGTCCTCACGGGATTGGTGATCTCGGAGAAGAAGCGCTCCGTTTCATCGACTGGCTTCATTCTACTGGTTGCTCCGTTTGGCAGGTAAGGGCGAATTAGATCAGGCATTTCGTGTAATTGTTCAATTTTGAAATTCAGCGAAGCTCACTAATTCTGTAAATCTAGATTTGAACTTCGAATCATTAATCTGAAGATTGGGGGAAGTTTTTGCGATTGATTTAGTTTCGTTTATGAGCAGGTTCTTCCACTAGTTCCTCCAGACGAAGGAGGATCTCCTTATGCAGGACAGGTTTGTCTTCTTTCTTTTCTACCATGGATTTTTCTTCCAATCCTCTACTACTTTTTCCTTCTCAGTTATTGCTGATTGCTTCTAGGATGCAAATTGTGGGAACACATTGTTGATTTCTCTGGATGAGCTTGTGAAGGACGGCTTGTTAACGAAGGATGAGCTCCCACAACCAATGTGCAAAACTTTTCTGTGATTTCTAAAATACAAAATTCTTGTTTTTTATTGGTCTCAGTCTCAGCTCTGATATCTTATATGATCCAGTGATGCTGACTGTGTGGACTATCAAACTGCCAACAAGTTAAAGAGCCCACTGATAACTAAGGTACACAATCTGGCTGCAAGAGTATAGCCACTGATCTATTGGCTTGAGAAGTTAAGTTTTGATCACTGAACTTTTCTCAGGCAGCAAAGAGGCTTATTGACGGAAATGGTGAGCTCAAGAGCAAACTGCAAGATTTCCGAAAAGACCCCTCTACATCATGTGAGGAATATAAAAGATTCGTTTGTTAATAGCAGTCTGCTGACTTTATCCGGATAGCTAGTTTTCACTGAGGATGTCATGTTCGTTATTGTATAGGTTGGCTTGAAGACGCTGCTTATTTTGCAGCTATAGACAATACTTTAAATGCATACAGTTGGTATGAGTGGCCTGAACCACTTAAAAACCGTCATCTTTCAGCCTTGGAAGCCATTTACGAAAGTCAAAAGGAGTTTGTAAGATCTTGGTGGCTTTAGTTTACTTCTTGAATTTGACTTCTTCTTGTCCTTTGAAAGTCTTCGAGGGTAGCCTTTTCTTCTTTCCTGCAGATAGACTTGTTCATTGCCAAGCAGTTTTTGTTCCAAAGGCAGTGGCAGAAAGTTCGTGAGTATGCACGGCGGAAAGGAGTCGATATAATGGGGGATATGCCCATTTATGTAGGATACCACAGTGCAGATGTGTGGGCAAATAAGAAACATTTTTTACTGGCAAGTAATATGGAGACAAACAATCTTACTGCATGTACACACCAGCCATACTATATAGACTTTCTTGAAGGCCAATTTTTGTTTATCTTTACGCAGAACAGGAAAGGCTTTCCCCTTCTGGTTAGCGGCGTTCCTCCTGATCTCTTCAGTGAAACTGGTCAACTGTGGGGAAGGTTTCTGATGCTACCATCTCCTTTACTTAAGATTATTGATTCAATGCTTGATTTGTTCAGTTTGCTCGGATAAGTATGTAGAAGGTTACTGTTTCTTAAGTCTTTGACTTTATCATTTTTCATTCTTTGATTTGTAGCCCTCTTTATGACTGGAAAGCGATGGAGAGTGACAGTTACTCTTGGTGGGTTAATCGATTACGACGTGCACAGGACTTGTATGATGAATGCAGGATCGATCATTTCAGAGGATTTGCAGGGTTTTGGGCTGTCCAATCTGGTGAGTGATTTTTTAAACTAGAAAACAGTGACAGATCATATACCTATTGGGTACATATTGAGTTGGTAATTTTTCATAAGACTTACTTGCTCTTATATCTATATTCTCCGCAGAAGCTAAAGTTGCCACGGTTGGACGATGGAAGGTGCTTTTACTTGATTCACTGATGTGAAAATATAATCATGTGGAGGAAACTAAGAAGTAGAAAAGTTGTATGAATGTAGGTAGGACCTGGAAAGACTTTATTTGATGCTATTTCCAGCAGCGTTGGGAAGATCAAAATCATAGCTGAAGATTTGGTAAGCTCATTTGGACTCAATTATGCAAACACTTAAGATGAGCAGTTACATAATGGAGACTACACTTTGTGATAAGACAGGGAGTTATTACAGAAGATGTAGTCCAACTAAGGAAATCCATCGGAGCACCTGGAATGTCTGTCCTCCAGTTTGGTAAAACAGCTTGGCTTCTTCATCTTCTTTTCTTTACCGTGTTTTTTAATTTCTCTGAGCATATTGAGATTGTTTTTGTGTCTAATTTCAGCTTTTGGAGGAGGTGCTGATAACCCACATTTACCTCATAATCATGAAGTAAACCAAGTTGTTTACTCTGGAACTCATGACAACGACACTGTGAGTTCTGTTTTAGCTCAAGTTGATTTTCACAGTAATCAGCAAATGTGTCTGTCCCGTTGATTGCTATTTGCTTCTCTTGTAAATAGATTCGAGGTTGGTGGGACAATCTGGACTCAGAAGAAAAGTCAAAGGTCATTTCACTAATCTTTCTTTTAGAAAGTTTGTGATTGGAAGATAATAAAGTAATAACAATCAGCATAAGCGGTTTTTCTCGTTGCAGGCAATGAAATACCTGTCGATAGATGAGGAAGACGACATCTCATGGGCGCTGATCCAAGCTGCATTCTCGTCAATAGCTCAAACGGCAATCATACCGATGCAAGACGTTCTGGGACTTGGAAGTTCTGCGAGGATGAACACTCCAGCCACTGTGGTTAGTCATTTGCTTCCTCTCTCTCTCTCTCAATCACTCTCTGTCCATTTGCTTTTAAGACGTTAATTACATTGTGTGTGTTTGTCTTTTATGAAATACACAGACGGGGAACTGGGGTTGGAGGATTCCGAGTTCAACGAGCTTCGATCATCTGAAAACGGAATCTCTCAGACTCAGAGATCTTTTGTCATTGTACGGTCGGCTTTGAGGAAATCTTCTGACCTGACGAATTAAGAAGAAGTAGAAGAATCTTCTCTCGTTTTCCTTTTCTTTTTTTTCTTGTTATTACTGAAATAAAGTAAGAAAACGAAAACGAAGCATATATGTAACATGGCGCTGTAGTATGATTTTTCGCATGTTAAATTTCATCCTTCCTTTAAACAAACAGTCATATGCACACCTTTTACTTGAGTTTTCATGTTCTCGAATTCTACGATCCAGGTAACAACGAGAATAGATGGCTTATGTTTGGGAACAGTAACAATGTCTGTTTATAGAACTTTTATAAAATGAAACAAAAAGAAACTGTTGACAGTGGGATTTGAACCCACGCCCTTTCGGACCAGAACCTTAATCTGGCGCCTTAGACCAACTCGGCCATATCAACTTTGTTGTTCTACTTCCATTTTTACAACACATAATAAATGAGCCACCACTGTTTATTTTACTGAGATCCTCTCTTACTCAATTTTGCAAGTTTGCTTTACTGTCAAAATCTGCGAATGGTTGTGTTAATGCATGTCTTTGATTGTTGTTAAATGGCAATCACAAATTATGGAAAAACTGCATCATTTTCTTTTATAATCTTACTGCAGCATTGTAATGTATTACATACCTGCTCTACATTACACAATACTGAAAATTTGCCAATGTCTAAATAAAAAACAAAAATGTTAACAACACTTCACACTTTACCAACATAGTTAGACAATCACTGTAAGATAACAGTAAACAACAGACAAGCTTGATTAATGCTTCCGTAGAAACATATGTAAAAGGTGTGTGAGTTACCACTTCTCCTCATCTCTGCCTTCTTCCTCTTCATATCATCATTATTATTATCATCATAAATAAATTATTAAACACGCTTTAAGCTTTAACGCAGCAGTTGAAGCAGCTGAAGATTCCTCTCCTCGTCTGTGTCAAGTCATTCACACGTAATATTAAAGAATGTTTTTATCCCAAGAAAAATCAAATACTACATCTAATTCTTCAGCTCACATGGTAGGTACAAAAATAAAAGCCACAAACATCTCTCATAAAGGATTCTACTTTACTTCGATTGAAAGAAACCACTACATCAGCTATATTAAACCCATAACTCTTTTTGTACCTTTTTCAATTACAAATGGACAAATGGTTTAAGTTTGTATCCACCTCTAAATTACCAACATTTGAATGAAATTTCACTTTTTAACAATGCGGATCAACAAGTACCTGAATATTATAACTCACTGTATTTTCTCCAACAATATAAGCTCAAATCATACTCATTCTATCTCCAGATCTAATATAAATTCAAAATCTAGTAGTTCATGAAGTTTGGTGGGGTATTAATGTCATGTGCAGATATAAATAGCAAAAGCAACAAACTAGAACAAACACTGAAGGACCACATTTTACCCAATTGCTGCAAATAGCCATATAATGCTTACAAAGTTAGATTCCGTAACCTACCCAACCCAAGAAGTAAGGCCCACATCTAATGAATACAAACAGCTACAATCCACAAACACAATCATCCAATTACATATACACCCACAGATCAAGGAAAGAATGAATCAGACATAACTCAACCAAAACCTAACAAACAAATCTAAAGTTTTCAACTTTGGAGATTATGAGCATGAGACCAACTTACAATGTTGTGACCTACAAAGCTAGGCTCATTAACCTAACCAAGTTAATAAAACACAAGACAATCAAGAAAATACATCGTTAAGACAGCAACAAAAACTGAAAAGAAGCAAGTAATCTTACAGATGGAGAATGTGGGCGTTGGTGAGAGAAGACATTATGGTTGTTGTTGGTGTCACTGTGAACGGTCGTGAGCTTAGGCTTATCGACTGAAGTAGGAGGTTGATTATGAAAAGGGTTAATGAGGTCTTCTTCGTTGCCAAGACTGGCACGAGAAGGATCTCTCTTGTTCAGTTTCCTCATCTCTCTGATCTTTGTGAAATCCATCGAGTAATCAGGGATTGGTCCTCCTTTCTGATCCCAATCTCCAAATGTTGGTACTGATAACCATGGCGAGTTCTTGCTCTGCAAACAAATCTCTCAATTTCAATAACTTTGACTTTGATGTTAAGTATTAACAAATGAAAGCCCCTAAAACAGATTTGGAATTCGTATTTCAGACCACAAAGACAATAAGGGTTTTTTATTCACCAGGTTCTAATTCAAAATTCGATCTATCACAGACTAGTTTCTCACGCAGAACTCGAATTCTAGCACAGGAACTTGAAACTGCATAAAAAAACACCTTTGTTTGATAAATCTGAAAATTCTATTCGTACAGGATTTGATTATACATCACTTAAAAATATCAGCTTGGAAATATTCTCGGCGAAAAAAACGAACATCACAGAAGAAGAAGAAGGGATTATACAACAGAATAGAAAATGGGTCTGAGAGATTTAAACCACCTTTTGATCTTCCATATGATTAATCTGTAGAGATAAGAGAAGCCTCCTTTTTAAAAATTTTATTTTCAAAAGATGATCTTAGCAGCGAAGATGGTGATACAGAGGAGGAATATATAAGCTAAGAAAATTTAATACACAGCAAAACAACAGCTCGATTGGTGGATGATGTGGTACGACTATACACTATACATACACACACAATGACACGCCGTATCAAATCAAATACTGCATTAAATCATTTTTTATTTCGGGAAAAAAAAGGAAAGCTTCTGTGTGTTAATTACTATAATGCCATTCAATCGGACACGAACACGCTTTGTCCGCGTCAGCTCTGCTTTCGTTTCTCATGTACGGCGTCGTTTGGCTGTCGATCTAATTAATTAGTCTAACCTTGCAAGTTACATGTATTGAACATGTATGTATAAGTTTACAGGTTTATTTAGACTTTACATTGCAAGGCCGGCAACTATTTTTCAAATCTCATCTGATATTAGTATTAGATTAATGAAATTAGTATCTCAATTCGATTACACTTCATTTTCACTGAAATTACACATACTCCACTACGGAAAAAAAAAAGAAAAAATCTCATTATCTATTGACAGAAAGAAAAAGCCTGAATTAAGATGTGTTTTTGTTAAATAAAAATTTAAAACGGTTACTCTACCACAATGTATCGTTAGTGAATTTGTATCCACTTATAAAAGTCTACAATTAAGTTATAAACAAGTACGACTTTTTGTTGGTCGGCTAAAATGGCTTTTCTTTATACACCGTATTAATATCTGCTCTAGTCGATTAGCATAAACAATTTTTCTTTTCTTCTTTTTATTAACATAGCTTAAAGTTTGATGTTGTGAGTCGATTACCAAACTACATAACGTACTCAACTCACAACAAACAGATATACTTTTAAATATGTTTTGGTTCTTTATCTCCTGAGTCCTTATGAACATTTGGGAGATTATCAGTCTTAGTCTAGTCCCTAACTGATAAATTGATACATGGAAACACATTTTAATAACTAAAACAATTTTTAGATAAAAAGTGATATCCAGAAGAAAGAAAAAACAAAAAAATGTGGCGACAACCACAGAGCAACTTACGAGGTTGTAGTTCGACACGTGGCGGAGTATGAGAAGTGTCTGTGATTCGAAGGAGTTTATGTGAACCACAAAAAGCTAAACTTCGCCGGATTACGTAGTGTTATCTTCAAGACTTCAACCATCTCTTCTTCCTCAGCCACAAAAATATTCTTCCCTCTCTTTTTCTGTGTGAACATTGAATTACTACTATGCATGGAAGAGGAATAAAAGATCATAATTAAATGGATTTTTGGATTCGAAAATTATGTAAAACTTGTTTCATTTGATAATGGCAACCTAAAATTCAGATTATCGCACAAAAAACAAAATAAGTTAAAATTTTATAATAACGAAAATTATATCTCTTGGCTCTCACACACTTCGAACCGTAGAGGAAAACTCTTATCAAAGCACTCTCTACTGCTGCTTCTTCATCTTCAGTAGAGCGAGCGAGAGAGATTCTCTCCTGATATTGCTATTCCTCTGCAATATCATGGGTTTATCAACGAATCTCCATACCCTCGACCTCCGTTCCACTTTCTTCACCGGTCTCCGTCCTTGCTCATCCCCAATCACATCCAATTTCATCAAAATCTCCTCCATTTCCACCCCTAGACGCGAAATCCCCACCATCAGAGCCCAGGTTTCCACAATCAGCGTCGAGACCTCGGTGAAAGAGCAGCGACGGGACGAAATCGAATCGCTTTTATCGAAGCAAACCACACAAGAAGATTCCGATCGGAGGCGGAACGGGAAGAATTCGAAAAACGGCGCTTCTGGGATTTCCTCAGGTGTGAAGCTAGAGAACATAAGGAAGAGCTACAAAGGCGTGACTGTGCTCAAGGATGTGACCTGGGAAGTCAAAAAAGGGGAAAAAGTAGGGTTAGTGGGAGTGAACGGAGCCGGGAAGACGACTCAGCTCAGGATAATCACGGGTCAAGAGGAGCCCGATTCGGGTAACGTAATCAAGGCCAAACCCGATATGAAAATCGCCTTCCTGAGCCAGGAATTCGAGGTTTCGATGAGCAGGACGGTGAGGGAAGAGTTCACGAGCGCTTTCAAGGAAGAAATGGAGATCACCGAGAAGCTGGAGAAAGTCCAGAAGGCGATTGAAGGATCTGTTGATGATTTGGACCTTATGGGAAGGTTGTTAGACGAATTCGATTTGTTACAGAGACGAGCTCAGGCCGTGAATTTAGACTCCGTCGATGCTAAGGTCAGTAAGCTGATGCCGGAGCTAGGTTTTGCTCCGGAGGATGCAGATAGGCTTGTAGCTTCCTTTAGCGGTGGATGGCAAATGAGAATGTCACTCGGAAAGATTTTGCTTCAGGTATGATTGAATTGATCCATTCTTAGGATTTTGATTGATGAACAGATTCAATCATGAAGCTAATGTGTGTTTTGTGTGAGTAGGATCCAGATTTGCTGCTACTTGATGAGCCTACGAACCATTTGGATCTCGATACGATTGAGTGGCTTGAAGGTTATTTGCAGACGCAAGAGGTGCCTATGATTATAATCTCACATGACAGAGCCTTTCTTGACCAGCTGTGTACCAAAATAGTGGAAACTGAGATGGGTGTGTCGAGGACATTCGAGGGTAACTACTCTCAGTATGTGATCTCTAAGGCAACGTGGATCGAAACTCAGAATGCAGCTTGGGAGAAGCAACAGAAAGAGATTGAATCAACCAAGGACTTAATCGCCAGGCTTGGTGCCGGTGCAAATTCTGGCCGTGCCTCTACTGCAGAAAAGGTCAGTAATGGTTCCACAGTTTCCATTTATGCCACTACTCTGGCTAAGCTTCTTATGTTTCCGTGTTGTGTGATTGATAACAGAAACTAGAGAAGCTTCAAGAACAGGAGCTGATAGAAAAGCCATTTCAGCGGAAGAAAATGAAGATTCGGTTTCCGGAGCGTGGAACAAGTGGAAGATCGGTAGTGACGGTTAAAAACATTGATTTTGGTTTCGAGGATAAGGTAAGTTACTAGAATGGTTTGGTTGTCATCAGTCATTCACAAGAGGAAAAGTCTTTTATTGCGCTCATGTTTTGACCTGTGAAAATTTGCAAAAACCAGATGCTATTTAAGAAGGCTAATCTAGCAATAGAAAGAGGAGAGAAGATCGCTATCATTGGCCCCAACGGGTGTGGGAAGAGTACGTTACTGAAGCTAATCATGGGTTTAGAGAAGCCATTGAAAGGTGAAGTTATTCTTGGAGAGCACAATGTACTGCCAAACTACTTTGAACAGAACCAGGTCTGTTTCTTCACTGAGTCTAGGCTAAACAATTAGGATAGGCTTTGTTTGTCACTTTATTGACCTGATTTTTGTTTTTGTTTTTGGCTAGGCGGAGGTTCTTGATTTGGATAAAACAGTGCTTGAAACAGTTTGTGAAGCTGCAGAAGACTGGAGAAGTGATGATATAAAAGGTCTTCTTGGACGTTGCAACTTCAAAGCTGACATGCTTGACCGAAAGGTCTCGCTTTTAAGCGGCGGTGAGAAAGCGCGGCTTGCTTTCTGCAAATTCATGGTCACGCCATCGACTCTACTCGTCTTGGACGAACCAACCAATCATTTAGACATTCCTTCTAAAGAAATGCTTGAGGTTAATAAGAATCTACTCTCTCCGAATCTTTGGATACAAGTGTAATAATCACTCGTCTAATAATGTGGATGTCTTTGTGAAACAGGAAGCGATAAACGAGTACCAAGGTACAGTGATCGCAGTCTCACACGATCGATACTTCATCAAACAGATCGTTAACAGAGTCATAGAAGTCGAAGACGGTTGTTTGGAAGATTACGCAGGCGACTACAATGTAACTAGAGCTCGAACTGCATCTCTTTACTCTCTGTCACAGTATGATTTGATCTCTCTGTTCTGACTTGTGCATGTTTGAATTGTGTGGCTCTGGCAGTATTACTTGGAGAAGAACCTGGATGCCAGAGCGAAGTCGGTAGAGAGAGAAGCAGAGCTTGAAGAGAAAGCTCCAAAAGTGAAGTCGAAATCAAACATGTCAGCAGCAGAGAAAGAAGCGAGGAAGAAGCAGAAGAAGCTGAAGATGCAGGCGTTTCAACAGGCTAAACAGAAATCAAAGGCCAGCAAGAATTCCAAGAGATGGAACTGAATACAGGAAAAGGAGTCTGGTTTATAAGAAAAGTCTTCTTACAGTTTCCAACATCTTTATTGTCGTCTGATTGTGTATATATGTATACTTTTAGAGATGGAGAGACAGAGAGTATCAATGTTTCTTAACATTTGAGGCTCCATTGGCTAAATTAAGAAACTTTACTGTCTCAGAAATGGATTAGTGCTTGATTCAGTGTACTAGAATCAATTCTTTTATTAGTCGGATGAATCAAAGATGTTTAAAGATGTTCTCTTGTTCTTGTGAACCGAATCGAACCGAAATTTTGTTTTTCGATTTAACTGATCCAACTCCAAACTAAACCGAGCCTATAACCGGATTCTATTACCTATTCTCTACATCTTCGGTGAAAGAAAATCAAACGACCTCGATAAAGTAAAAGTTTAGAAACCTTAAATTCACCAAGATCTCTCTGTTCTGCGTCGGAGAAGGGTAATCATGGTCGGAATTCAACGTTTAAAAAAAGGTCTTGTCAAAGCTCTCTCGAAAGAGTTGTTCCTCTGCTTCTTCTTCTTCTTCAGTAGAGCGTAAGAGCGAGATTACTCTTTTTTTGTTCCGTCCAACAAAAATGATTGGTTTGTCAACGAATCTCCATTGCTTACGCTCCATTTTCTTCACCGGTCTCCGTCCTTGCCCATCTCCAACCACATCTAGTTTCGTCAAACTATGTTCCACTTCCAACCCTAACCCTAGACGCGAAATCCATACCATCAGAGCCCAAGTATCCGAAATCAGCCTCGACACGTCGGTGAAAGAGCGTCAAGACGACAGAGAGTCGCCTTTCTAGACCCAACGAAACGGTGCTTCTTTGGTCTCTTCAGGAGTCAAGTTAGAGAACATATGGAAGAGCTACAATGGCGTGACAGTGCTCAAGGATGTGAGTTGGGACGTGAAACGAGGTGAAAAAGTAGGGTTAGTGGGAGTGAACGGAGCCGGGAAGACGACTCTGCTCAGGATAATCGCCGGTCAAGAAAAAGCAGACTCAGTTCACGTAATCAAGGCCAATCCCAATATGAAGATCGCCTTCCTGAGCCAGGTATTCGAGGTTTCGATGAGCAGGACTGTGAAGGAAGAGTTCATGAGTGCTTTCAAGGAAGAAATGGAGATAACAGAGAAGCTGGAGAAAGTGCAGAATGCGATTGAAGAAGGAAATGTCCATGATTTGGAGCTTATGGGAAGGTTATCTGACGAATTTTATTTGTTAAAGAGACGAGCTCAAGCCATGAATATAGACAGCGTCGATGATAAGGTCAGTGAACTTATGCTGGGATTAGGGTTTGCAGCAGAGGATGAAGATAGGCTTGTGGCTTCGTTTAGCGGTGGATGGCAAATGAGAATGTTACTTGGAAAAGTTTTGGCTCAGGTATGATTATGATTGATTCATTCATTATTCTTAGCATATTTGAATATTTGATTATAAAATATGAAGCTAACTAATGTGGTGTGAATTGTCTCTGTGAGCGTAGGATTCAGATTTGCTGCTACTTGATGAGCCAACAAACCATTTGGATCTTGAGACGATTGAGTGGTTAGAAAGTTATCTGAAAGAGCTTGAGGTGCCAATGGTTATAGTATCACATGACAGAGCCGTTCTTGATCTATTGTGTACAAAGATACTTGAGATTGAGATTGGTGTGTCGAGGACATTCGAGGAAAGTAGTTACTCTCAGTATGTACTGGAAAAGGCAACATGGGTCGAGGAACAGCTTATGGCTTTGGAGGAGAAGGTGGGGCTAGAAGATGGGGAAATAGAGAAGCCATACAAGCACAAGAAGATGAAAATAAGGTTTCCGGAGCCAGGAACGAGTGGAAGATTGGTACTCACGCTTCAAAACATTGTTTTCGGTTTTGAGGATGACAAGGTGTGTGTGTGTCTTGTTTTGTAACAAAACTCATCATGATTCATGACCATATATGTAACAAAATTCCCTCTTTGACCAAAGCAGATGCTATATAACAAGGCTAATCTAGTAGTACAAAGAGGAGAGAAAATCGCTATTATTGGCCCTAATGGTTGCGGGAAGAGCACGTTACTGAAGCTAATCATGGGTTTAGAGAAGCCATTGAAAGGTGAAGTTATGTTTGGAGACTACAATGTACTCCCAAACTACTTTGAGCAGAATCAAGCGGAGTTTCTTGATTTGGACAAGACAGTTCTTGAAACAGTAGTTGAAGCTGCAAAAGACTGGAGCAGTGACGATGTAAAACATCTCCTTGGACGTCGCAACTTCAAAGACGACATGATCCATCGAAAGGTCTCTCTTTTAAGCGGAGGCGAGAAAGCGCGTCTTGCTTTCTGCAAATTCCTGGTGACGCCATCGACATTACTCGTTTTGGACGAACCAACCAATCACTTAGACATTCCGTCTAAAGAAATGCTTGAGGAAGCGATAAAGGAGTACCAAGGTACAGTGATTATGGTGTCTCACGATAAACAAGTTGTCAACAGAGTCATACAAGTTAAAGATGGCGGTTTGGAAGATTACCTAGGCGACTACAATGTAAGGTTTCGATCTCTAATCTCTATCTCACTAGTTTGATCTGTGTACTTGTATAACACTTTGTGTTTTTTTCTGTTGCAGTTTTACTTGTGGAAGAATGCGGAAGCTAGAGCACAGGAGGTAGAGAGAAAAGCAGAGCTTAAAATGAAACTTCCAAAGGTGAAGGCGAAAGAAAAGATGTCAAACGCTGAGAAAAGCGCGGTGGAGATGCTGAAGAGCATAGAGTTAAAACTGCCTACACCGCTCTCAAGAACCCAGAAAATAAGAGCGAGGGAGAAGCACAAGATTCAGAAGATGCAATCGTTTCGAGTAGCTAAACAGAGCTCAAAGGCCACCAAGAACTCAAAGCGATGGAAGTGAACTTATAAATCTCTTTATTTATGTTTGTTGACCGAACCGTACCAAACCGTACCGCCAATTTAACCATCAAGTGGAAATATTTCAATTCAGCGAAAACCAATTGGTTCAATAGGAAGCCGAGAAAATAAAACTCCAAAATTACAAGAAACCACCCGGTTATCTGATAGCCCTAACTGGTTTTCTTCAATCTTCATCATCTCATCGGTGTTGTCTATAGGGTAATAAACCCTTTCTCAGTTGATTGATAAAACGAAAGTTTCGAAACCAACAAGATCTCTCAGTTCTGCTTTGGTCGGAGAACTGTTAACATGGTCGGAATTCTTCTGGGATTGCCTGGACAGTGGGCAGAAGACGAGCTCGAGTCTTCTGATCACTACACAACTAAAATCGGAGGTCTTCCGGTAACTCTTTGTCCCTCTCTCTTTTCTTCAAATTTTTCTTTCTGGGTTTTGATCATAGTTTGCTTTCTAGGATTGGCCGCCATTAACGGATGATGAGCTGAGACCAGAACTACTCAATTGTTGCTCCTGTGGAAGTAAACTCTCCCTTGTAGCTCAGGTTCTTCGTCTCAATCAAAAGCTTTCACATTTCGTTTGACAAATTAGTAAAAATTGGATTTTTAGACGTTTCTTTCTCTCTGCATTTAGGTGTATGCCCCAGTCTCAACTGATAATTCGGAGCGTACCCTCTATATATTCGGTTGCTTGATGCCTAAATGTGGAACTTCTCAACAAAGGTTTTGTCTTTTTTATGATTTTGGTTCTGTTTATGTGACAAGGATCAAGGTTTGTTCCTTAACGTCTCAATTGGTTTTGGTTCAGCTGGAGAGCTTTTAGCATTCACAAAGCTATAGTAAAAGAGAAGGAATCGACTGAAAAAACAGATCTTTCCATTGCCTCGCCTCTGGCTACATCTTCTAAACCTCATTGGTTAGACGGTGATGATGATGATGATGAAGATTTTGATTTTGAGAGCTTAGCTAAAGCGCTCGCGGAGGCTGCAACTACTGTTGCTTCTTCCAACTCGAAGAAACCAAAGAACAAACCAGGTGGCTTCCGTGCTAGCTCAGGGACTAAAGCAGCAAAGGCTTCTTCGGAACAGTTCAAAGTTGAGACTGGTGCGGTGGTTCCGTGCTTCTACATTTATACAAAGGAAGAGAAGGTCTCGAAAGATGTCATCAAGAGTGATGCGTCCATGTCCATTAAGGATAAAGAAAGCAGCAAAAGTGATGAGAGTGAGACGGAAGAAGCATGGGAGGATGAGAAGTATGAATATGACAAAGCCTTGAATGCAGATAGAACTTACCTTAAGTTCAAGAAACGGATAGATGCAAATCCGGAGCAATGTTTCAGGTAAGCTTATCTTCTAGCTCTGAAAATCTTCCTCAACAGTTTGAACGTTGGTCTAATCTTCTCTCATGGACTAGGTACTCGTATGGAGGTAAACCATTACTGGCAACCGAAGAGCTGAGATCTTCCGAGAAGTGCAGGCATTGCGACTCTCCGATGCTGTTTGAGATGCAACTCATGCCTGCTCTGATATATTTCCTACATGAAGGTGTTGTTGACAAAGCGGTGAAGCAATCATTGGATAACTGGGACTGGATGACACTTATTCTCTACACTTGTTCCAAGGTAATTTATCTCATATATTCCAATGAAGTAAGTAAATCTTTCAAGAACATATATTTTCTTGATCATTTTGGAGCAATAATGTTAAGCTATTTGTAGAGCTGTGCAAACGCGGTGAATGGCGATTGGGCTGTTACTGAGGAGTGTGTAGCAGTACAGTATGAGAAACCAATGAATCTTGATCATGCTAGCTTCTTCAAATGATAAGCTAAGAATCTGGACAAAGATATGATTTTGGTTAAGAAGTCAAATGTGCCGTTTTGATATCTTCTTCAACTGCTTCAGGACAGAGGTTCCCTAGAAGAGGGAGCTGCTCAAAGATCCTTTGTTGTTGTTGTATGGTCTATTTTAATGCGAGACAAGAGAGACTCACATTTTTCTATGTGATATATTTATTGTGTTTATATTATGTTTGATTAATTAAAAAAGACAGATGCTTTTGTTGGATTTAGTTTTATGTTACGCAAGAACTGTTCAAACCAAAAGTGTGTTCTGTCTCTCTTGATGCGAGAAACATGACGCCAACTCTCTCTCTCTCTCATGTCTCTCTCGCTCTCTTTTCTATCATTTCCTTTTGGTTCCTTTCTTGGTTTCTCTGAAGCTTTTTACCTAATATATAGACATGACTGAATCAACAAGAAACAGATTCGGTTTCTCAGTCTTCTTCGTCATCATCATCTTGATCTCTGTGTGGATTTTACCGGCGGCTGCAGATGGAGTGGAAAATGACGATGCTGCCAAGAAAGAAGAGAATCCATCACTTGTAAAGATCATATACGGAATTTTTGGCAAGAAATTTCCTCCGAGTTCTTGGGAACTGATTCAAGGTGTAATGCAGAAGATCCAGATGAAGCTTTACCCTCCAAATTTAGAGTAAACAAACAAACCATTCATATACTATAATCTTTGGGTTTCCACCAAAATCCGTTTTTTGTGTGTGTTAGTTAAGCTTATGTGTGTTGTTTTGGTGTGACAGTTTCAGAAGCAACAGCGACAAGAAGAACAAGGAGGAAGAAGATAAAGGAGAGAAAATGAAAGAAGCAGCGACAAGGAGCCTCGAAGTAAGCAAAGAAGCCATTGAAGAGTCTGCAAGACTAGCAGGTGGTGTTGTAGGAGACGTAGTTCAAAAAACAGCTGAGAAAGTTACCAAACAATCCTCACATGATGAACTGTAATCTAATCCAAATCCAACCAAGATTGCTCATAATGTTATTAAACTCAGATTCAAATACAAATTTCCATTTCAAAAGGAACCAAACAACACGAAATCTAAACATTTTCAAGAAGAGCGAGAAGAAGAAGAAGAAGAGAGCTTAAGACACTCACTCTGACATCTCCTAAGACAAATGTCATTCCAATTAGCAACTTGGTGCTGGTTCACGCAGACGGTTCTCGCACAAGCATCAGAGCAAGCGTCGAGCTCAGACACGCCGCAGACAGTAACACAAGTGTCCGGAATCGGATCTTTAGAGAAAGCTCCGACTTTTTTCAGCATTCTTTTCGAAGTGCAGACTCTTTCACAGACGAAGATCTCATCGGAGCTTTTCTCTCTTCCACGAGCACTCTTGATCCTCTCTTCTTCGCCGCGTCTCTTCTTTATTCTCAACGCTTGCCCTCCGATTAGCGCAGGCACTGCTGCTGCCAACAGTGACCACCACACTTCCACCATTTTCTTCTTGAAAGACTTCAAATTTAACCAAGAGCACGAGTTAGAGAAAAGCTTGTCTTTTTATATAAGCTGATGTCTTGGTGATTAAATCGGAAAACAAATTACCAATTTTCCCCTATGAACATAAACGGAAATCAATCAAAATCGAAAAATCGGATTCAATAAAGAATGTAAGAAGAGCAAATGGTACGAAACACGAAATCTCACAATTCTTCAGGGTTTAGGGTTTTTGCAGGACGAGAGAGAGAGAGACATAAATTTAGGGCTTTTTCAGCTGATTGAAGCAGCCCAGAATTCAAAGAGAAGAAGAAGAATCCATGGAAATGGAAAATCGAGGGGACAAAAGTCACATACCTTCGCTGTCTTCTCTCGGTTGCTTTGTATTTGTCGTTCGTGAGTTGTAGTAACTCTGTAGCTCTATCTCCGTTTATTTACCAAATTAATATTCCAATTTTTTTATTTACCAAAAAGTGAATAAAGCAAACAAATTTTGTTTAATGCAATTTAGACCCAAGATATCAAAATTCGAGTACAAAATACAAAGCTTGACCAAATAAAGAACATCACACAGGATGTGAAACAGACGCAATTAGTTAGATTGTAAGTTGAACAAACCTTATTGCAATCAATCATTCACTGTTTTAATTCAATCAACCTTATTATTAAATATTAATACATGATGACCCAAAAAAACAACAATCAAAGAATTTGCTTATAAAAACAAACCAAGGAGCGTTGGTTTACAACACTTCGCCCCAAGTAGTAAAAAACTAAAAATCACGCACCGTTTCGTTGGGTTGAGAAAATCACGCCCCAACAAACATAAATAAATAAGTTCAGTTCCATCGCTTTGAATTCTTGGTGGCCTTTGATCTCTGTTTAGCTACTCGAAACGATTGCATCTTCTGTATCCTGTGCTTCTCCTTGGCTCTTTTTTTCTGAGCTTTTGAGAGCGGTTTAGGCAGTTTTAACTCTATCCTCTTCAGCTTCTTTCTCGCTCTTTCCTCAGCGTGTGACATCTTTCTTTTCCCTTTCTCTTTCCCTTTCCCTATCCCTCTCGGTTTTGGACGTTTCGTTTTAAGCTCTGCTTTTCTCTCTACCTCCTGTGCTCTAGCTTCCGCATCCTTCCACAAGTAATACTGCCAACAGACAAAAACACCAAGTGTTATACAAACACAGAGATCAAACTAGAGAGATACAAACTAGAGATCGAAACCTTACATTGTAGTCGCCTGCGTAATCTTCCAAACCGCCATGCTTAACTTGTATGACTCTGTTGACGACTTGTCTGATGAAGTATCTATCGTGAGACACCATGATCACTGTGCCTTGGTACTCCTTTATCGCTTCCTCGAGCATTTCTTTACAAGGAATGTCCAAGTGATTGGTCGGTTCGTCTACAATTAGTAGAGTCGATGGCGTCACCAGGAATTTGCAGAAAGCAAGACGCGCTTTCTCGCCACCGCTTAAAAGAGAGACCTTTCGGTGAAGCATTTCGGCTCTGAAGCTGCGACGTCCAAGAAGACTTTTCACATCATCACTGCTCCAGTCTTTTGCAGCTTCAACTACTGTTTCAAGAACCGTCTTGTCCAAATCAAGAAACTCAGCCTGATTCTGCTCAAAGTAGTTTGGGAGGACATTGTAGTCTCCAAGAATGATTTGGCCATTGATAGGCTTCTCCAAACCCATGATCAGCTTCAGTAACGTGCTCTTCCCGCAACCGTTGGGCCCAATAATAGCGATCTTCTCTCCTCTTTCAACTACAAGATTAGCCTTGTTGAATAGCATCTGCTTTGGTCAAAAAAGGAATTGTGGTTACTGTGGGTCATGGCTTTGTTGATTTTAGTAGTAACAACACAACACAACACACACCTTATCATCCTGGAAACCGAAATCAATGTTTTGAAGCGTGAGTACCAATCTTCCACTCGTTCCCGGCTCCGGAAATCTTATTTTCATCTTCTTCCGCTCATAGGGGTTCACTATTTCCCCATCTTCTTCTAGCCACACCTCCTCTGGATCGTTATCTACGCTGTCCGAATCCGTCTCTCCCCGTTGTAGTCTCAAAGCCTTAAGCTGTCTCTGGACCCATGTTTCCTTTGAGAGTACATACTGAGAGTAACTACCCCCGAATGTCCTCGACAAACCAATGTCAATCTCAACTATCTTTGTACACAATAGATCAAGAACGGCTCTGTCATGTGATACTATAACCATTGGCACCTCAAGCTCTTTCAGATAACTTTCTAGCCACTCAATCGTCTCAAGATCCAAATGGTTTGTTGGCTCATCGAGTAGCAGCAAATCTGAATCCTACGCTCACATATATACAATTCACACATTAGCTTCACATTTTTCAATCAAATATCCTAAGAGTGATTCAATCATTCATATAATCATACCTGAGCCAAAATCTTTCCAAGTAACATTCTCATTTGCCAACCACCGCTAAACGAAGCCACAAGCCTATCTTCATCCTCTGCTGCAAACCCTAATCCCAGCATCAGTTCTCTGACCTTATCATCCACGCTGTCTAGATTCATCTCCTTCTCTTCCTTGAAAGCACTCATGAACTCTTCCTTCACAGTCCTGCTCATAGAAACCTCGAATACCTGGCTCAGGAAAGCGACTTTCATGTTGGGATTGGCCTTGATTACGTGACCTGAGTCTGCCTCTTCTTGACCGGCGATTATCCTGAGCAGAGTCGTCTTCCCGGCTCCGTTTACTCCAACTAACCCTACTTTTTCACCTCGTTTCACTTCCCAGCTCACATCCATGAGCACTGTCACGCCATTGTAGCTCTTCCATATGTTGTCTAACAGTAAAACTGGTGGATTTCCTGTAACATCGGACTTGACTCCTGAAGAGACCAAAGAAGCACCGTTTCGTTGGGTCGAGAAAAGCGACTCTCTGTCTTCTTCACGCTCTTTCACCGAAGTCTCGACGCTGAGGGTCGGGAATTCGCGTCTAGGGTTGGAAATGGAACAGAGTTTGATGAAACTAGATGTGATTGGGGATGAGCAAGGACGCAGATCAGTGAAGAAAGTGGAACGGAGGTCGAGGCTATGGAGATTCGTTGACAAACCCATCATGGTTTTTGTTGGACGGAACCAAAAAAGAGAGTAATCTTTGCTCTACTGTAGAAGAAGAAACAGGAGCAGAGGAACAAACTATCTATTTCAAGAGAGCTTTGACTTTTGACCTTTTTTCAAGCTTTGAGTGTCTTTTTTTTTTCAACCCACTAACAAGTTTCCGACCATGATCACACTTGTCCACTTCTCCTACCAAGGTGGCAAGGTTGTCGAAACTTTTACTTTTGTTTGATGTCGAGAAAAAGTGGTCGAATCCGGTTAGGGTTACGAGATCCGAAAGTAGTTCGGTTCGATTTAGTTTGGTTTTGGATATGTCTGCTAATCCTATGTTTGTTACATTTAAACTGTTTAACCGATCGACCTGGTTCTGCTCAAAGTAGTTTGGGAGTACACTAGTCTCCAAAAATGATTTGGCCCTTAATAGTTCTCTAAGACTAAACCCATGATTAGCTTCAGTAACGTGCTCTTCCCGCAACCGTTGGGGCCAATAATTGATGGCGAGATCTTCTCTCCTCTTTCAACTACTAGATTAGCCTTGTCAAATAGCATCTGCTTTGGTCAAAAAAAGGAATTGTGGTTACTATAATATGGTTAAGGGTCGTGACTTTGTTGATTTAGTAGTCACACTAACATACCTTGTTTACTTTTCATGTTTAAGATATGCTTAGAGCATCTCCAACCCACCCTTATATTTCCCGTTAAACACTATTTTAGTGTAAAACCCATCTCCAACCCACCCTTATATTTCACATCAAAATAAGGGAACACTATAATTTCCCCCAAATATAGTGTAACTTTTTTTCTCCCTTATTTTTGATGTTATACTTTTTTATTTACATAATGATCCCTCAAATTTAACTTGTTCTTATTTTGAATCTAAACAAATAATAAAAAAATATTTTTTTTCTCTTATTTTACTAGAACTAATCATAAAACATTATATTAAAAAATGACATGACTTATATTATGAAAAGGAATTAAATTTCTACTTTATTCATTACAAGATAAATAATTAGAAAGTTCTAAAAAATTAAGTGGGACTAATTTGTAAAACTTATAAATAAAAGGTTCTTACAATAAATTTTGAATCAGAATATACTATAGAATATTCCTTTTTAGTGTAAAAAATAAGGGAATACATTGGAGAGAAACATCACACTATTATGAGGGAACACTATAATAAGGGAGAAAATAGTGTAATACATTGGAGATGGTCAAGACGAAAGAGGTAGAGGTAATAAGACACATGATTAATCCAGAAGTAACTTTTATTATCACATTGGAGGTACAATGAAGGGTAATGTCAAGGAAAGAAACACACAATTTTAATCTCTCTTTTGCCTGCAATCATAAACTGTAGTAGGACAAGTTTCCTCCCCGAAATGAGAGACGTATATAATCTCTTTAAAAGAAGAAAAAGAGAGTAGAGAGAGATTCAGGCTTCATTATAGCACCAACTTGAAGAAAAGTTTAAGACTTGTAATGTGGGTTGTCACGGAGGCCAAGTTTTGATAAGGAAAGGCAGAAAGAGTCCCAGTCCGTTCGTCTCATATACTTCAACAGTTTCTTCCGTCTCTGCACCATTGCTATAAGCCCTCTTCGCGACTGCTTGTCCTATATATGGTTACAAGATGCGATATTAGCTCACTGTACAAGGAATGGTTTATCTATACAGAGTCTTCTCTGAGCCAGTGATTGATCTTTTTGATGCTTTCTTTAGAAAAAAAGTTTACCTTTTTATGTAGAAGAGAGGACAAATGCTTGATCTTTGTGGTCAGCTGTGCCACTACAAGAAAAAGACCATAGTAGAGAGATCACAATACAAACAAGAACAACAAGGCCAATATAGAAAGAAACGTCTTTGAGAGCTAATGCCAAGGGTTGATGACAAGTTGAGAGATTACCTTGAACACGTGAAGAGCCACAATCAGATTCGGACATCTTGAACTCTTCCCTGACCTCTGCAAGCTTGATTTTCATCTTCTCCCCACAAGACATGTTATCGCCGATAGGGAACGTACAGGCAACATCGAACTTGACTACTGAAGACACCAAAGAAGCACCGTTTCGTTGGGTTGAGAAAAGCGGCTCTCTGTCTTCTTGACGCTCTTTCACCAAAGTCTCCAGGCAGGTTGCAGAAATCTGGGCTCTGAGGGTAGGTAATTCGCGTCTAGGGTTAGGGTTGGAAATGGAACAGAGTTTGATGAAACTAGATCTGATTGGGGATGAGCAAGGACGCAGACCGGTGAAGAAAGTGGAACGGAGATCGAGGCTATGGAGATTCGTTGATAAACCCATCATGGTTTTTGTTGGACGGAACAAGAAAAAAAGAGCAATCTTGCTCTACTGAAGAAGCTTTGACATTACCTTCTTTCAAGCTTTGAGTGTCCTCTAAGATGATTACACTTGTCCTCGCAATTACAACAGAGAAAGATCTTGGTGAATTTAAGGTTTTCGAAACTTGCTTGATTTTCTTACACCGAAGATGTAGAGAATAGGTGGTCGACTCCGGTTAGGGTTATGAGATCCGAAAGTTTGGATTTGGTATTTGGATAAAATACAAAGCTTGAGCTTGACCAAACCGTAATGTGATTATAGCAATCATTCACTGTTTTTAATTCTTGTTTGGAAATATTAATACATGATGACCCAAAAAAGCAACATTCAAAGAATTTGCTATAGGAACAATCCAATGATAGTTGGTTTACACGCATATTCACTTTACCACCTACATACAACCAGAAATGAAAGAAGAAACCAATGGAAACAAAAAAGAAAAAGAATAATAGAGTCAAAAGCACCACAGATTCTTCAAAGTATTCTTCTTGGAATGAGAAAGGAGATTTCAAACGTTAATATCCATTCGCTTAGATCTGGCACTGCCATTGTTGCTTGTTTCATGTTGTACACTCGAAAGAGAGAATCTCGGGATAGCGTAGTTATCAGGAGTCGACACCGGTAGCTGCGGATACAGCGTTGGAGGTGGAGTTAGGTTGCGTTGTGCTGGAAGTGGCGGTAACGTGTTGTTGTTGTTGTACTTGTAAGGATCTCCATGTAAACTGCAACAATCAAACCATAAATACCAAGCCTGACCAAAACCAAAAAAGAAAATCTTTGTTCTTAGCTTTGTTCTTGTTGTTGTTACCTTGTTCGCTTGTAAAATTGATCGTCATCATCACTTGTGATCTCGTCTAACCGTTGGGATGATGAGGTTGGAACAGACCACGGTGAAGCTGCCGGTAGTTCGTCTGAGAAATATCTTCGTCTTATCAACTGTTAAAAAATCGCCAAATAGTTTAGAGAGAGTGCTTCGGAGATGTAACCAGAAAGAAAGGTGTGTGTTTGATGACACTAACCATCCGGAAAAACTTGTTCAAAGCTTCCTTATCGTATCTCGTTTCTTTAGCCGCCTGTGCAAAAACCCACACAACCAGATCAACACTAAATACCATAAACAAAGAAACCAGTGATTAGTCTATACATGGTTTTACTTACCGCTATGAGACCGCCATTGCCAGGAAAGCTTTCAAAGAGAGGAAGTTCTTCACTAGAGGAAAGCAAGCCTTGCTTCTCCACCCAATGACGAGCTGCGTCGACAAGATTCCCACTGCTTCCTTTTGTTCCTTCTTTTGCAGCTAAATCTGCTTTGTTGCCAACAACAATGTATGGAACAGGAAGACCACCAGGACCTCCTGAAGGAAGAGGAGCTGAGAATGTTCCAGTTGCTGCAACCTCAGACGCCCATTTCTGCAAACTTGTTTTTGTTCTTCTTTGAGAGAGATCATGAACGAATATAACTCCTGTACATATACAATTTCTCGCTTTATGACATTGTTTCAGAGATAATAAGGATGAAAACAAAATGGATATAAGTTGAGAGAGAAAGAGTAACCATTGATTTGTGAATAGAACAATGATCGGCAATCTTTGTATCTCTCATGCCCTGATACATCCCAGAGTTCAACAAAGAAATCTCTCTCTGAGTCACCTTGAATGCTATTCGAAGAACTAGATGGACTCCCGTAAGTTAGGTGCTGCGCAGTAGGAGAAAACAAAGTGGGTTTAAACTTCAGCTCCCTAACCATTTTTTAGAACATTTCTGAGACGAGATTAAAGGTTACCTTGACACCAACAGTGCATCCAATCGTTTGAGATGGGCGAACAATAGAAGAACCTTTGTTGATGAGGTGTACAAGTGATGTTTTTCCAACACCTAACACAAATATTTGAGATACATAAGATGAAATTTAACTCAGGTATGAACATTTTCACACTTCAGGGCTCAAGATTGACATATGTCATGACTCATGAGCAAAAGCAAACACAGCCAAGCAGCAGACTCAAAGGAAATGAATGTTGACTTATAATACTAGACTCTCAGGTTCGAAATAAACGATATAGCCACAGCCATAACTCCTAAGCAAATGGTCCAATGTAACGCAGAGGATCTATCTTTCTGAGTCATAGATGATCAGGTATTAGCACAAGTAGCCCTGTGCATCAATCTGCACTTCCATAGAACCCAATTCAACAAAACTAGAGAAGGATGATAACGATTTACATTTGGTTTGGTTCCATACAATTTGGTTATGAAAGTAGAACACTTGTGAGATTACCTGAATCACCAACCACCAAAACTCGAACTTGCCCACATAATGGCGCTAAGATCTGCTCTTTATTTTCCCTTTCACGTTCCCTCCAAAACTTCATTTTATGGTTGTCACTAGCAAAACCAGATTCGGTAGAAAAAGACTAAAAGCTATCACTGTTCAATCAAGTCTTATAGTCTCGAATCCAACCCAAAACCAGAAGAAACGCTCATAGCAGCCTCTGATTCCTCGCAATGGAAGAGCTTTACGATCCAATCACCGAAGCCAATAGCACACCGAATCCTCTGATTCAATCACCGAAGACTAATCAAAATCCCCGGAAATCAATCTGGGGGCGCTGATTTCTTCACCCTTCTCGTGCGATAAATTTGACGGAATCAATCCAAAAGATTGCCAAGATCGAGAGAAGCAGCAGATCGACGACTACAACAGAGGATTTCAGAATCAAGTAGGGTTTGTTCGTCTTCTTCCTCGAATAAAGCTGGATCGAGATCAGAGATCTATACACGCGTATGTGGTTTCCTTAGTGTTTGAGATTTGGGCGGAAGAACAAAAGAAACGACTTGCACATTTCTGCACAACTTTTCCTTTTTTTTTTAATTGAAATGGTACAACATGACATCGGTTCGGTACAGAACCGGATTACAAACCAAATATTTATTTTATTCAATTTTTGTTTTGTTCGAGTAAAGAACCGAATTTATACATTGAAATGTGAACGCACATTTAACCAAGTTTCATGTTTTTATAGATTCTCGTCATCTTGATTCTTTTATTAAGTGTATAAATCACAGCTAATTTTACATGTTGATGTAGAACTTTTACACAAAAGTTAATCTTCTTCATGTTTATACGATTTAATAAACAAAACACTGCAAATTCGCAACTATACACTGATATATACATGTTGATGTAGAACTTTTATACAAAAGTTAATCTTCTTCATGTTTATACGATTTAATAAACAAAACACTGCAAATTCGCAACTATACACTGATATATATTGATCTCTCCAGAGAAACTACAACATGTTTCATATATACATATCAAAGAAAACAGTTGTAACTGCGAAATTCGAACTTCTTTATTGTACAACTAAAATTAAATTACACAATACAAATGCATTGAGGTTTTAATGCTATGGTAAGATATCTTAGAATCTCAAGGGGGAGGAGAGATCTAGATAGATTGAAGAAGGGAGTGTTGGTTCCATTGATCATGATCATAAGACAAGACCATGTCACTGTAATAGACATGAGAGGGACTCTCATGGTTATGGACTCCTTCGTATGTTGTAATCACATAAGCTGCATCTTCACCATCTCTCTCTACCCTCTTCTTCACCACGCAACCTTCACTTGAGCATTTGTAGTAATTCCTATACACATATTTAATTTTAGTTGCTTTTCCATATACTCCACCAAATACGAAGTCTAAGTCCAAGTCGAGACTAATCTCCAAAATCTGTATCCATATTATATATGTGGGCGATTTGTTTCTTCTATGATAAATGAGTCAAAAAGATCTAGATGATGAATATTAACCATGGACTAGTCAATTAGATTTACCACTTATCAATCAGAAAGCTTTGTCTATTTACAAACAAAAAAACACACATGCATGGAATCTGTATCTTAATCCAAGTGGGTTGGTAGATAATACGGGTCCATTAAAACAGTATATTCAAATCACTATATGATCTAGTCAGTGGCTGTTTTATAACATTAGAATTACAGGATGATTAAAGAAAATGTTCAAGCAACCATATCTTAATTTTTAAACAACAAATCAGTTAAGATATGAATTAACAATTAGATGAATCGGTTAATTAAACTTTTTAAAGCAAATTACCTCTTGTTACTGTTGTTTTTGACAGATTTCTTGCCATACTTCCTCCATTTATAACCATCATCCATCACATCAATCTTCGATCTCGTTCTAAATGCAACTCTACGACCCATCTCCTTCGTCTCACTTTCTTTACCTCCCCTATGTTTGCAATCGAATCTATTAAAACATAAATCATAACATACATAATTAGTTAAAATAATTAAATAATGTTTGGTTAAGAATCTAGCCAACAAAATACAATTAATTAATACTCACGTTGAATCCTTTCTACTCAACGTCGTTGTTGCGCTGCCGGATCCGCCGCTTTCTCCGGTAAATGTCTCCGACGAAATGATGCTTTTCGGAGACGAAGTTTCTTCCTCGATGAATCCATTGTTTCCTCCTCCATCGATGTCGAACATCAAACTGGAGAAATCGAAGTTATCCATTAACGGATTGAAGTTTTCATCGGAGAAGAACGAGTAATTATGGCTAGGGTTTTGAGGGATATTCATTTTATCTTTTATTTTTGCAAAAGAGAAGGATGAGAGAGATAGAGAGATCTTAAAGCATCTCAAATGACTAGTAGAGCTAGTGAAGAAGGAAAGACAATGGTCTTTTATATAAACAAATAAATATTTATTATTATGTACGAAGTTATTATTTTGGAAAGAAACATAATTAAGAGATAAGATTAATAAAGATTTACCACATACAAGCAATTTCAGGGTAGATACTAGGAAGGTGCTTCAACGCCATGTGTGAATGAAAATTGAAAAGTATCATGACGTCGTTGTGATGACGTATGGACAGACGATAGAGGTGGCTAAAAAGCGAGCTTCCACTTAAACTAATAGTTTTTGCTTGGGCTTAACGGCCCATTTGAAAGCTTTTATCGTCTACGTTAAGGTCCATGTTACCGTTGGTGAATTGTAACGTGGATATATGGATTTTGGTTTTTGAATCAACGGCTGAGGATTGAAGTTGCATGTTTGCTTGTGCTGCGTCTGAAGCAGACAGGACTTTCTTTACTCCATAGTAAGATTCTGAAAATGTAATATCCCAAACTTTATCGACTTTAGCTTATTTTGTTTGGCCTCACTTTAAGCTATTTGTTCAAAATTAAATTGTATTTCTGTTCTTTCTAATTTTTGGTTTTATCTCTCGCAATATAACATGAATATATTATTTCACACACTGAGTCAGTGACCCACATATTGACACATCCATATATAAGAACAAAAATTTGCTAATCGCAAGTCTATTCCTAAGTCAACGGTTCAAAGTAGTCTTTTAATCTAGTCTTAAAGTAAGACGAGATTTCCAGGATTGAGATTGTATGTTTGCTTCTGTGTTTATTATTTTTTACTCTGCTAACTTTAAATTCGTAAATGCAAATTATAACTTTTAGTCCGATTCATACCTTAAAAGTATATTTGATATAACTCGAATTCTACCTAGCTCACAGATACGGGATTTACTAACCTAACCTAGAATATAAGTTGCCGAAAATGCTTTATTTACAACAAATATTAATCTGGAAATCAAAGTAACACATATATATATACCAAACGAACAATTCATGAAGTCGAACTATGTAATTTGCATCTCTAGCTAATTAATCTACCTGTTGTGCAAAGGATTTGGACCGGAGGGGATAGATCGCTTCTCTGCTTCTTCCTCGTCGCCGTTGGTCTTTCTCCGAACTTTGGACGGGTCTCTTCTGAATTTATTAAGCATTGACATCTCCGTGATCACAAACTCGTGATGATTCTTGAAATATTGTGATCGAGCAACGATCAAATTTTGTTTTCTTCTTGTCGTGATGAATCTTCCAGCTTGGATCGAACTTGACCGCGACAGAATTATTACAACTAAGATTGTAAAGATTAGAATGATTGCCACATCTCGTTTCATTGCATATCTTGAAGACAAAATTACCATTTGATAGAACTGAAAGAAATATGTCTCTAGAATCTTGATTACTCCTCTTCTTCTCTCTGTCTCTCTCACTTCTATCCTTAGCTTCTGTTAAGAGAATTAAGTAAAAGTAGGGAGAAGTAAAGAGGGGTTGCCAAAAACAAAAAAAAAGGGAGAAGTAAAGAGGAATGAGAAGAGAAGAAATAGAATGGTCAGCAGCAGCATTCATTACATTAAATCTGGCAGTGATATGACTACTCAATTATCATAAATTATCATTTCGTACATGTATAAATATTTGTCTATTACTACTAAATTACAAATTAGAGAAAATTATCATTGATTTTTTTTTTATATATGTTCCAGATGTAACTATCTTGCAGGTTTTGCGAAAACCAATGGAAAGATATAGACATAAAGATAGCTGCGGGTTGGTGAGAGTACTAAATGCTTTTTCAAAAGATATGGACAATGTGTAAACTCTGAAATGTCGATATTAAATCAATGAACATAGACAATTCAAAATTGAAACAGAACTCTATAAAGTACATATTAACGAGTATATGATTTCGGAAAGAAAAAAAAACGAGTATATGATTAGATTAGATCCATCTATAAAACACATAGAATTCAACTAGCTCAAACGTAATTAAACGAACAACAAACAACGTGAAGAAAAAGAGAAAAACAAATTATATGGCGGTGACTAATCCAAGAAGAACAAGTCCAACGACAATGAATCTTCCAAACACAACGCTGATCCTGGAATCGTCACTTCCACTAACGATCTGAACAGGAAACAAGCAGCTTCCCACTGACGCATTGTTCTTAGTAATCATAGCAGCTCCTTTGAAATCACAAGCCCTAACATCTTGGCCCTGAATCTGGTAATACATGTTAAATGCGTATGATATGTTTTGGATTTTATCTAGCTTACTACACGTTGAATCTCCTTCCATCGCGGTGCAGTCACCGTGGTAACACGCGTAGTCTAGGTCTGGACCAACTTCATCTAGATTGATCGTATCTTTGTTCACCACACACCATTGTTTCTCTAAGTATTGCACACCTTTTGCTGCCACGGGAACCATCTTGCGTCCCTTTCCCTCAAAATCTAGCATAAACTTCGGTGTCCCATCGTATCTATAGAATCAGGAAAAACAAAAAAAAGAAAACGGTGACTTGTTGTACAAGAAATCTAGTTTTGGAATGAAGAGTAAAGTTTTTATACCTAAAGATTCCCCAATGTCTCTCAAAGGGTCCAGGAAGAATACTCTTCATGTCTTCGTCGAGGAAGCCGAAGAGGTAAACATCTAACCTTTCAGGTCTCAGTGGAGTCCCCTTGTCAGCAGCGAGTCTTTTCATAAGCCCTGCATAGAATTTCTCAGCTAGCTTCGGAGTCGCATACTTATGACCATCCGTTGGCCATCCAACCTAACAAAACCAAAACTATATTAACAAATTTCAAAACCTATCTAAATAACCAATAACTTGTTTGTCACGTTACCTCCCCAACGATAATCTTCATATCTTTAATCCCAGCTTTCTTCAACGCGTAAACAAGCGTGTCGTAATTCGCATCAAACACATTATCGTAATTCTTTCCATTATCGGGAATCGTCTGACCATTACCATCGAAGAAAGCGTACTCCACAGGAAAATGCTCGTTTAGGTAAAGACTAAGGAAAGGGTAAATGTTGACGGTGAAAGGTAAATCGTTGTCTTTGAAGAAGTTGACGATATCGAGCATTGTTTGCTTCACGTCACTACGAAAATCACCTTCCGATGGCTTATCGTTGGCTGATTGGTAAACTTCTGCGTTTTGTGGGATCGTGGCTTTCATTATTTTGGTGTGTCCAGCTTCTTTTAACGCCTTATGAATGTTCTTTAACGCTGGAAACGTTGTCTTCAAGAACGATCCGTTGTATGCTGACAAGAACGGCTCGTTCCCTACGGCTACGTACCTATTAATATGTGGCAATCATATGATCTTAACGCATTTACAATAATTGTTGGACCAAATTTTCGAATGTGATAAAAAAAGATAAAATGTTGAAAAGTTTTGAGGGTTACTTGATGTCGACGCCACCTTTACGAATGTAAGCCGTGACATTTTCTTTGACCCAATCTTTAGCATTATCGTAATCTTCGGCTAGAGTTTCAAGAAGGTTATTAGGGATTCCGACCATAACCTCCATGCCCGTACCGGCCAAAGCATTCATCGTCCATGAATCAGCGTCGAAGAGTTTTACTCTATTGATCTTGTTTTCCTTAAGCATCCTCACAACGATATCAGGATTCAACGGATGCGATGCGATATTGCCCCAATTCACACCGAAGCCTCCGACCAAACTAGCCAGGGTCAAAACGGTCATTGTAACCGTCCCGACGTTAACGAGCATCGCTGCTCTTCCGGCCATATCGAGAAGGCGACGATGAATGAGAGATTGGCTTTGTTTGATCTCGAAGATGTGTTTTCTTTTCCCTTGACTGGATTGTTTTTTTTTTTTTTTTAACAGACGGTAAATTTCTTTGTCGTGTCTTTGGGTGGTCGTTGTTGTTGTTGTAATAGTAATGTTTTAGTTTGTTAGTGAGAGATTTTAGCTTAAAATAAAATTTCTATCTTTAGGAAGAATCACGAGTTAATAACTTAATATAGGTGTGTTTCTTCGGACATTTGGAATCAGTTAGTGTCGCCATGTAAAATTGGTCGAAAATATTTACATTTGATCCAAAACAAATTTTAATCCGTCTTTTATAGAATTCGATTTGGAGGCCAAAAGTGCGACCCAGAAGAGCTACGTTTAGAAAGAGATGTAGGACCCATTAAGTAGCATGAAATCCACGTGGCAGAATATAAACAGAGTAAACGCCACAAGTCTCTCTTGTTCTTCTTCCCCTCACCAACAATCCTTCTCTTCTTCGCATCCAAATTTCTCAAATCCAAAATCCCTAATTTACAAATCGAAGAACCTCGGAAATCTAGGTTTTTGATTCGTTCGGGTTCTCTGATGGTAAAGAAGCGAAAATCGGAGGCTTCACGGCTCGATGAAGTCGATCGAACCATGTACGGCGCGTTTCGAGGAGCTGCTAATTCGCTATCTCAGCTCTATACACATGCCATGAACCATCAACGCGTCTCTTTCCTCGCCGGTGAACGTCGCGGGATGGTCTGTGCTCTCTCTCTCTCTCTCTCTTAAATCTCATTTCGCTTTTGGTATTGCTGGGTTCGATAATTAGGAACGGAAGATTGTCTGATTCTTCTCAGGGAAAGAATAAAGTTGAATACTTTTCTTCTTATTTCTTGTTTTGATGTTGGTTGACTATCTTGACTCGGAAGTTGAAGGATAATTCAGTGTTGATTCTTGCGTTGCTTTGGTCAAATTGTGATTTGTTTACCATTGTTAATTTGTTATGCTCTCTTTGGGTTGTTTTGTGTTTGATTGATTGTCTTGAATGAATCTTAGGAGAGACAAACTCTGTTTTTTACTCTGTTCTGATCGACGAAGCTAGTTTGTATATAAAGATAAGTAGTCTTACTGATCCAAAGTTGTGGCCTTTTGATCTTGAAGTGCCAATTTGTTTCCCTTTCGGTGACAGCTTAACGTTCTTGGCTTCATTCAAAAGGGTTGTTATGTTCTGATCTCTGAAGGCTAAGCAGTCTTATTGGCCAAAGTTGTGGCCTTTGGTTCATAAAGTATCTAGTTTAGTTATATTCAGTTATTAAGCTATATGAGCAACTACAATCATGAATCCCAAAGCGATGTTATTCCCCTTTAGTAGCTGCGTTTCAGGATGTTGTAGTGTTCTTGTTTCTGTCACATATCATTGAGATTTTGGCCTTTTTTCTTTCTTGTTTTACAGGAGAAACTTTACCAATGGATAGTGAGACAAGAAGAAGAAGGAACTAGAGTATCCACAGATGATATTACTACCTACTTGCAGGTTATTCCCTTTGAAAACAGTTTCAGATTGATGAATCTGCCCATAAGATTCAATATGCAAGTCCAAAGATCTTGAATTTTGACCTGAAAGTTACTTGTGTTCCTTTTATGCAGAATGAGCTTGAATATGAGCCTGAGGAGACATCGATACCATTCCCAATGCAAGAGTTTCATCAGCATCAATTCGCTCCACCAAACGTAATTACTTCAGCAGCTGCAGCTCATGTTCCTTCAAGTCACATAGCACAACACTATGATGGTAACCAAGACAAAGTCCTGATTCCACCAATTGCTCTATCAAGTCCGGTTCGTAGAACCCTTCAGGACTTCAACTTGTGTGAGGCTGCCTCTGGTAACCACAATCCACACTCTACAGGACGTGACTCCTCTTACTGAAATGAAACAAGAAACCCCAATTGTAAAGTCCTCAAATCGTTCTGTTAAAATATTGTCTCATGTAATACACAAAAGACTTACTTTCTTCACAATCTTTGAAAGACGTTGAGATTGATCATTTGTAAGATAAAAATCTCTGATAGCGATTTTGTCGAGAGGTGATCTGATCATTTCATGTATTGTCTAAGCTCCTCAAAGACTTTAATGTGTGGACTTGTTAACAGTGATGAAAGAGAGACAGAGACTGATTATATCAACTGGGACCAAACCTAACATGTGCTCTCATGGTCCCTCTCTCTATTTAACTTGTCTGCAAAAGAAAACATTGCTTTGATGTCGATCTCCGACGAGCTACGTGTTTCCATGCAAACCTGATAAGTTCTTTGAAAATCTCTATGGATAGACATATACAGAAGTTATAGAAGAAACACATTTCTTCATTTGGTCACGACTTTCTCTGTACTAGCAAAACATTCATCAGCAGGTGTTGTCTAGAGTTTGTCACTGGTTTTTGGTACATGACACATTTTGGCTAGTTTCTGGACTTTTCTACTATTTTATATATTTTTTTTGTTTTGTTCATGATTTTTCTTTCAAACGTAACAGTCTAATCAAATCATGTAGCTAATCATATGAAAGTGGCTATAATAATATTATAAAGTCTTGGAAACAACTTGGCACAGAGGATTAGGTCCACAAATAATAATTTCAGGTCATATAGATCCATTAAATATCCAAAAGTTGAAACTTTTTAAGTCCATACATTTCATCTATCAAATCGGATCACAATACTCTTTGCTAGAATTGTCAATTTTTCGTCAACTAACACATAGTATGATGGAGTATTAGAATTTGTTAATTTCAATGAGTGAAAGATGAAATTACGTGTCGTATACTTCATACACGTGGAATTATAATATCAATAAGATTTGTTTTTGGGATGATTTTATAATGAAACAAGAGGAAAAAACAACTCTTGTCGGATTTTTTTGTAGTTGAAGAAATTGAATGGTAATAATGAATGGCTAATTGGGAAACACATGACTCTACAAACTTTACGTCCTTTTTGCCATATTTATACACTCTCTCTAGCATGTCCCCGACCCCCACTCCTATCTACATCCCTCACGTGGTCCAGTTTCGTTTTATTTTTAATCGAACTTTTAGGATCAGTACTAAATTTCACGTTATCATCGAAATTTCGTTTCGTTACATTCATGGTTTGGGATGAATGAATGAATTTTTATAGTTGAACTTAAACTCACATGCGACAAAACTGATATACTCTTTTGTCAAAGCTTATATGAACTTACAAAAATAAACTGACAATGGAGGAATGGTTAAAGAACCTTGCTATTCTGATTCTTGACAAGGTTCCAACCAGTTTTATTGCTATACCGGAGTATTTGTTTTGCTATATGTGTTTTGGTTTTAGCGTTTTCATATTAAATGTCTCGCATAAATACATTATAGATTTATAGTATACGTAAGTGAAATGAGCAGTTAGTAACCGAGATTCTATTTCTCGTTAAAAGAAGTGATTGCATAATTTATCATCATTTAATTCCTTTTGTGTTGCAAACAAGAAAAATCAATGTTGTGGGGATAGATTTATGTGGGAAGACATAGAAATATCGACGTCAAATCCGTAGACCCATATGTCTCAATAACTTCCAAAAGTTATTCAATTCCGGTATAGAGTTGGGACCATAAGCTCATCATAGAATCATTCACCTCTTATATATAAACACAAAAAGGTCCAATAGAAAAAGATACAGCTAAAGAAAAATAAAAAGATCGTCTCGGCCAAAAATGGCAGTTAGGGTTTCTAACAAGTCTCTCCTCCTGGCACTTCTTCTCGTACTGTTGATTTGCTCTCCTACTCAAGGTAAATTTATAGCTAATACATACATACACACACATCACGAGTTTATTGTTACGTAGCATCAAGATATATACACATACACTTGAATGATTTATTTTTGGTTGAATATTAAAATATATCACCAAAAAGAGAGTTTCTGATGATAAAAATTTTGGTATCTTAGCACGAAGCTTACGAGAAATCGTGAGGACGAAAACACCAGTGGCTGTGGTCCTTGTGGATAAGGATCAAGAGACTCGGGACTCAAGGCAAGACGGAGGAGGAAGTGAAGGCGATGGTTTGGTGGATATGGATTATAATAGTGCGAACAAGAAACGACCGATACACAATCGCTAATATAAACACACATAATGAGCTTATCAACTTCTTGTGAGATATCCAGAGAAATATAAGATATCCCGAGAATATATCTTCTATCTCAACATAAATTACTAAGAAGTATTGCGAATGTAAACTATTTTATATACAAATACAACCGTATAAACATAATCGAGCTTGTATGCATATGTGTCATGTGTATCTCGAAAGAAAACGATTTTATATTACAATCATAGTTTGTGACTTGTGTTATTGTGTGTTTTTTTATGTTTGGATTACATCATGTTTTTGTGTGTGTGTGTGTGTGTGAAGAAATAAATATATAATGTGTTATCATCTTTTAAGTTTGATGCAGAGTTATATTATTAAGAAAATACACTTCCAATGAAACTATAAAAAAATATCTCTGATTTACATCCCATGATCAATGGTCTTTGACAGTCTCAAAAAATTTACAAAAGATCAATGACATGGTTAAAGAATAAACATTTATCTGCCCAATGGTGATATGCAAATATTACCAGAGATCTAGAGAATAGTAGAATACTCATCCGTCCACAGACCCCACATACATCTCTTCATATTTTTCATGCTTCGTTTTATATTTTGGACACCGTCCAAATTACTTCTTACGATCAGTTTTCAAAACATAAGTATCCCTAGTTACACTTGCACTTTGCTTCCTTGACAGTAAACTAATAATCAAATTTCCCCACAATGAAAGAAAGAAAAACTTTCAGAAATTAATGGACGAAAGAGAAAAGTAGCCTACAGATATGAAACGTTAAGTAGTAATTGGATCGGTCGATCTATCATCTATGTGAATCCATAATTTTAACTTTCTACCGTTGGAATCTTGCTAGAGTTATGGGCCTTTTTACACTTCCTTATTTGGGCCTCATGGCCCAATGTATATACTCTATATACCATATCGTTTTGTTAATTGCATAATTGCCCGATCATGCTGTTTATTACACATATACCCTTTAGTGTTACAAATGTTTTGTAAATAGCCCACTAAATTAAAATTACTATCATCGGCCCAAGAGTCTGAGCTTGTCTTGTTTAAGGGGTTGGGGTTTTCGAGGATTACCTTCTCTCTCTGAATTTTTGAAGTTAAATTTAGTTTCGTCTCCTGAATTTTGATCTACTCTTGCTTCTCTCGGAGTGTTGATTCCCGGCGTTTAACAATGGCAAGTCTCCGATTTCGCAGATCTGATTTCACCACTTTTTTTCCTCACTCGTTTCGAATTCGGTTGTCAATTCGTTGTCGTGTTGATTGCAGGAAGCAAAAGGGCAGCTCGAAGCGTCGATAGATCGACTTCTTAACGAGGAGAAGCAGATGAGGCTCGCTGAAAATGTCGCCGGAACTAGAAAATCCGCTACCGAGATTCTGAAGCTTTGTTTCGAAGCCAAGGATTGGAAACTTCTGAACGAACAGATTTTGAATCTATCCAAAAAACGTGGTCAGCTCAAGCAGGTTACTACTTTCGAAATTTTTGTTCATGGATTAGCTTAGAATCGTGCTTAGTCTTCTAAGGTTTACGATTAGCACTGAGACGCAAGTTTCTAGGGATTTGAGTTTGAGTGGAAACGTCTCTTGGTTTGCAGGCTGTACAATCAATGGTGCAACAAGCAATGCAGTATATTGATCAAACACCAGACATAGAAACTCGGATTGAGCTTATTAAGACGCTCAACAATGTATCTGCTGGAAAGGTGAGGATCAGAGACTAATGTATAATGTTGTTTTCTTTTTTCCTTCTTTAGGAAAGTTTTCTGAATGAGTCTGTGTATTTGTAGATATATGTTGAGATCGAGAGAGCTCGTTTGACCAAAAAGCTTGCTAAGATTAAGGAAGAACAAGGTCAGATTGCCGAAGCTGCAGATCTTATGCAAGAAGTTGCTGTAAGCATTTTCTGCTTTTAGCTTTGAAATTTCTTTAAAATCGTTGTTTTTAATGATTTTCCTGGAATTTGGTTATGAACAATAGGTGGAGACATTTGGTGCTATGGCAAAAACTGAGAAGATTGCATTCATCCTTGAACAAGTAAAAGACCTTTCTGTTTTATCTTTTCACAATCCTTACCTAATGTTTTTGTTTATATTTTGTGTTGCTAATTATTAGTGATATAAATCTTTAAAGGTCCGGTTGTGCTTGGATCGTCAAGATTTTGTCCGTGCACAAATCTTATCTAGGAAGATCAATCCGAGAGTTTTTAACGCTGATACCACGAAAGATAAAAAGAAACCCAAGGAAGGTGATAACATGGTAGAGGAGGCTCCAGCTGATGTACCAACTTTGTTGGAGCTTAAGCGAATTTACTATGAGCTAATGATACGGTAAGGCTTTGTTTTGGTTTAACACATTCTTCACCAATTGTTCATGATATGATTTGTTTATATGCTTCCTCTGAAGTGCTGATTCTACCGTGTAGGTATTATTCTCACAACAATGAGTACCTTGAGATATGCCGTAGCTACAAGGCGATTTATGAAATTCCTTCAGTAAAGGAAAACTCAGAACAATGGATTCCAGTAAGTCTTATATCATTGTTTGGATACATTCTATAAAAAGCTTGGATTAACTTTTCTCCTGATCCACTCAACATAGGTCCTGAGAAAGATCTGCTGGTTCTTAGTCTTGGCACCACATGATCCGATGCAGTCGAGCCTTCTAAACGCAACATTGGAAGATAAGAATTTATCAGAAATTCCTGATTTCAAGTAAATTATCTTCTTTCTTGATATAATTTTGGGTTTTCATTATTCTTCGTCTTAGATAATTCTCAGTTCTTGGTATTTATGTTCTGTTGCAGGATGCTTCTAAAACAGGTTGTGACAATGGAGGTGATTCAGTGGACATCTCTCTGGAATAAATACAATGGCGAGTTTGAGAAAGAGAAAAGCATGATTGGAGGCTCTCTTGGTGACAAAGCTGCTGAAGATCTCAAACTAAGAATAATCGAACACGTAAAGACTCTTTGAGCTCTGATTTCTCTAATCTCTTTGTTTGCATCGTTCTGAAATCTCACTAACTCTTCACCTCTTCCGCAGAATATCATCGTCGTCTCAAAGTATTACTCAAGGATTAGCTTAAAAAGACTTGCAGAGCTTTTATGCTTGACCATTGAGGTAAATATAAGCTTAAACTAATTGTAACCAGTTGTTATATGTTTATATATCTTCATGTTGGTTCATTATATATATCAGGAAGCAGAGAAGCATCTATCTGAGATGGTTGTGTCAAAAGCCTTGATAGCTAAAATCGATAGACCATCAGGAATAATCTGCTTCCAGACTGTCAAAGACAGCAACGAAATTCTCAACTCATGGGCAACAAACTTGGAGAAGCTTTTAGATCTTGTTGAGAAGAGTTGTCACCAAATTCACAAAGAAACGATGGTTCACAAAGCTGCACTAAAAGCTTGAGAAACCGGTGAAAGAAAAGAAGCTTTTCAGGTTGTTGTCGTTCTCTTAAAATTCTTCATTTGAGTTTTGTTTCCTTGTTTGGTTCACTTACATTATAACTTTTCTCATTGTGTGACCTTAGAGACCTTTAAGATTACAAAACTCTTCTCTCTCTTTTTTTTTCGCTTTTTCTTTTCCCTGTCTTCTTTTTGATAGTTTATACAACGAACTATTATGCAAAAATATGATAAATAATCGGGGGAAAAAAAAGAAAGAAAGAACACCATGCAAGAACTAAAACAATACATACCTAAACCCTATAATAAATAATCGTTTTTTTGTTCTTTTTCTATTACTAAATATGTGAAAGAAAAACGAAATGAAGCAATCCATCAGGAGGATGGACTGTTATTATAGTTACTATTATTACTTGTCTTGTCTGGTGACCACCTTAGATCCTGGAGATAACCGGTTTCGCTAGCTGATTCCGGCGGGGGTGGCTGTACCTCTGCCTGAGAAAACAGAGGACGAGGATGATTGGAAGATGATGACGTGGACTGCATCATTGAACCTCCGGTGTGACCAAAACGCAACGGCAACGACATTCGATCATAAAAATCCATAGACTGTTGATGTTGCTGCTGCTGCTGAAACTGTTGTTGTTGACGAGCCATCTCTGAGTAACTCATGTTGTACGGTTGCATCAACGGCTGAGAATGAACGATTTGATCCGAAGCAGGTCTTATGGGTAAAAGGGTAGTCGTAGAACCGGAGTTCCTTAACTGGTTCGGTCTCTGAACAGCGGCTTGCGGTACAGACTGCGTTGCGGTTGAGGCGGTTGAAGCGGGTCTAACGAGCTTGACGTTTTCAGGGAAGTTGAGTTTGGCTTTGTTGCCTCTAAAACGAAGTGCAGCTTCGTCGTAAGCTCTTGCTGCTGATTCAGCGTTGTCGAACGTACCGAGCCAAACTCTAGCCGCTTTGAAAGGATCTCGAATCTCAGCCGCCCATTTTCCCCACGGTCTTTGTCTCACTCCTCTGTATCTTCTTCGAGGTTGGTCCCCACTAAACGACGACGTTTCGGTAGTAGCATTTGTTGTAGTTGTTGTGTACTCATATGTTGGGCCTGAACCTGACATGTTGCTCGAAGCTTCTCTCACTGCAAACAAACAGACAACAAAAACATTTTAAAATTTCACACTTTTGTTTTGACTCGTTAATTAACTTTTTTTATATAAATAAAATAACTGAAAACTGAATGTCTCGAATCAGAATATTATACAGAGAAATTAGTTTTATTTTGTTGGTTAAAAAGTGTTGAGGGGGTTATGAGAAAGTGATGAGGCCAAATGGGTGACAAGAGCAATGAACAAGTAGGGAAAAAAAGGAAGTGGAAAACGACTCTTGAGGCAAATGGAGGGAGATAGATTCTTTTGGCATATCACCATCATCATTTTGTTAATTAAATACCCAACCTTTTTATTACAATTCTAAAGTATGTCTTTACTCTTTAGGATAATCAAGTACACTTTCCTTATTATTATAGAAAAAAAAGTTTGTCAACACTTTCGTTATGTATATACATCCTTACTATTTAGATTTTGTGTTAGAAACATATGATGTGACTCATATACATGAATAAATTAGTATACTACATGATAAATTTATTTAAAACATTTTTAAAAAGGTTTATTGTAAGTCTAAACAAAATAAGATAAAATTAGTTTTAGATCATAGTGGTTTTTACTAGTAAATTTCACTAATCTTGTTTTAAATTCAATAGTACACGTGTGTAATAGTTCTATGATGATGGGAACCAAAAAAAGGCCAGCAAAATTACCTTTCGAGCTAGAACTACCGCCGGAGAAATATTGATCAACCGTCAAAGTATTAGCTGCCTTGACTGGTTCGCCACCTTTCTCCACCTCTCTCTTCCTTTTCTGTCCGGAGGAAGAAGAGGAATTCGAAGTCCCTTCACCACCGCCATCACCACCACCATCAACGACACCATGTTGATGAGAGGGAACATTTCCGGCGACGACATGTGTCAAAGCAGAGACGATTGCAGACATCTCCATCTCTCTGCTAAAACTCGACATAACAGAGGAGGAAGAAGAAGGAGGCGCGAGGGCGTTATCACGGCGGAGGTGGTCGTCTTCCGTCGCGAACAAGTAAAGCCATTGATCGATTTCCGATAACGTGCGATGGTCATCTTCTCGAGTGGTGGACTCGGATTTCTTACCAGCGTTATCTTCCTGATTTGCCACTGTTAAGGCACACATAAAAATCTCTACGTCTAATCCTCCTCTCCTCTGAAACTTAAACCTTATAAACACAGAAACATATAATTTTTTTTTTAAATAAATCGTTTATCTTAGAGGGAAAGAAAACTCTGTAGAGAGAGAACAAAAAAACAGAGAGGTAAGAGGGAAAAAGAAAGAAAGACAGAGATTTAAGAGATGTTTTTTCTAGACAAAGAACGAGGTTTCCGCTGATAGATATACAAACATTTTTGTTGTGTAAAGTGTAAACCTTTTTTTTTTCTATTTCAGCGCCGCCAAATGAAAGAGTCGGCTTCTATCTGTTTCGACCGTGTGAAATGAAAAAAAAATGATTTTTTTAATATATATAATTATATATACAAATAAATTAGAGTAATTAGCTCAATATTATAATTTTGAACTATAGTGGAAAGAAGAAAATTTGGTTTTGGTGATTTAGGTCAATATGAACAAATTTATATAAATTGTATACTATATAGTTATATGAAACGGATCTAAAACTTTTTCGCAACTTGTGTGTCATATTTAATTATATAATTTTACTGGTGAACTATTAACCGTGATGATTAATACATTAGCTGGAGGGGATAAATTTAGACGAGTTGTAGAGTAAAACCAAAAGTTATAAACACTGTTAAAATAAGGAGACATCGAGAGACGCGCATTAATTACTGTAAGAGAATGAATTGCTGAAAAATAGGTAAAACAATTAAATGGAAAAATCTTAAAATACAGTAACAATAAGATATTTGGCTAAACGGTGAGCTTGAAGGTCAAGTTGAGAGAGAGAGAGAGAAGCCGTGCTGTACCGTACGAAAGCGCGTGTCTCGCACGAGTCGGTGATTGGTCCGTGCCGACTTCAAATGCTCCGTTTGGACGGTGTCGGTGGTGAAAGGCCGACGCACGTGACTTATTTGGGCCTTACCCTACGGCCCACCTATTTCAACCTTCTTCTTGTCTTGTGTTTAGATTATGTTTGACCGTTTGACCACACGACATATTCTTCGTTTTCGATTTTTCTTGCTCTTTCTTGCTCTAGACTCCAGTCATCATGTGGATAATATCACATCTATGCGAAAAGTGTTTCTCCTAAAATAGACGTTTCAAATGTTGTACCTGCTTTTTTTATTTACGAATATTCGCGGACAAGAAATTTAAAAGCCAACTCTGACAGTCAAAAATGATTAGATTTTATGTTTTCAAATACAAGCTTTAAATGTAATTCAATATCGTTTATTTATATTTTAAAATAAAATTATATAGGTAAAACCAAAATATAACAGCAATGGACTATATATAATAGGCATATCTAGTAGTAACAGATCATCATAGATACAACAAAATTATTAAGATAAGAACAATTTAGAGATAGAGTCTAATGCATTTCAAAGATGAGATCGATCAAAGTACGGAAACTGGACCAGTATTAATTAAATAAATTTGTTGTTTCAACATGTGTGTGCCTAATCCCTGATTGATTTCGCATTAAAACGGCGATCAGAACATAGGATTATTATAAGGATATGCCTTCAACTTGCAATATTAAAACTGTTTTTAAGCCAGGGATACTAAAACTAAGCAGCTTATCATTTAATTATCTTTGATAAAAGTTGATCACCTTAAGTAAGTTCAGGCGTATACGATAGTCTTTTTCATCCACTTGTCCTTTTAGAAAATTAATACATTAAGAAGAATATCGTATCAAACTAGGTAGCTAAAAGCCTAAAACTAATAATCTAAAGTCCAATACTGTATGTAGTTTTCAAATATATTAGGGATATAATTTGTGCTGTTTAATGCACTTTCATGTATTAACTAGGAGGCGACAAGAAGGAATACTAGCTCGTTAAGAATTTTTTATCAAAATAGATTTGGTTTTTCTGTCTGTACCTATGTTTTACCTTTTTGCTTGGCCAAAAACAATGTAGTTATGTTTAAAGGATAAATGTGAAAACTGTAGCCACTTGTGTATAAGTATTGGCAAATTGGCATCGCAACTTGGCTATGCCACTAAACATGGTAAATAGTGACATAAAACTAATTAGTAATGCGTTGGTCACTAATTAACACGTAGCTTATTTGTACGGATGATTAATAATTAATTATAATACAGCTTTAATCGCCCGCGTAGTCGCAAACACACGTGATGACGCAATCATATAGGAGTAGTATACGAAATGGGATTATGGGAAACAGCATAGCATACCAAACCTTTACTTCCGAATTGTTATTCTATACTAGTTAACTAGAGTTTGACCCGCGCCCAGCACGGGGAGATGGTTTCTGAATTTGTATTTTTTAATTAAAAATGTATATTTAACTATTTCAAAATTTTATGTGACAGATTTTTTTACCTTGTTAAGGTTTTTATCTTCGTTTATAATGTGGAAATTAAACATTTTAAAAATTAAACAAATTAAAACATTGATCATAGACATAGATTAAATATGCTAGACTATAGATTAAATATGCTAGACTTCAGCAAATACATAAAAAAATCAAATGAGTATATTTTATAAGATAAGAAGATAAGAAGTTTTAGGTGTTTACACGGATTAGAACTAACTTTTTTTATTTCTTTTAAAACTAAAACATGTTTTATTATAATTCCAAAACAATCCAACCAATAAAAGATCAATCTTGCAAAATCCAAATTGTCAAAATAACAAAAGTATAAGTAATTTTGTACTGAAAAATTGAAACAAATGGAGCAATATTCAAATTTTTGATCAAAATTAAATACATTTATAAAAAATATTATTTTATTTGATTTCATTATACAGTTTAACTAAAAAATCATATAAAATATTTTTAAAAAATTACATTTAGATACCTACTCTCCTACTTACATGGTTGCATATCATCTATTTTTTATAATATATTTTTACACCTACACACAACAACATATTGGGAATTTTAATAGTTTTAGTGATTATTTTGTTTTTAAAAATTCAAATCATAGCATATATAGAAAAAGTTTTAGATTTTATTTATTAGATTTTTTGTATTGTGTCAATTTTTTATTTTATAAAATAAAGTTAAACAAAGATGAAAGGAGATATAGAATGATTTAAAAAAAATATAATGATAGCATTAAATTGAATCTCATATTTTCCTTATTTACTAATTTTCGTAATTGTCAATTAAGGAAAGAGAATGATGATTCTTTTATTAATAATTTCATATATGATTAATCTAACTATACATATTTGATTCTCTAACCAAAAATATGAATGGCAATGTTTGTAATTAGTCTAGTAAACTAATCCTTATTTTATAAATAACATGAGAAGCTCTAATGATGACACATCAGCATGACATTCTTGTTAATAACACATCAACTAAAGGTTATTTTTAAAGTGTTTTCTCTTTTAATATATTAGGGATATTAAAATCAGTGACTCAATATGATTTGAAAAGAAGCTGTCGACATGAAAAACTCGGATTCTACTACTAGTTTTTTATATATATATATATATGTGTTTTACCAAAAGAAAACTACTATTACTATATATGTAACGCTTATGTCTTTTTCTCTTTACATCATTTATATAAAAATCATGTTGATACATTGTATCCAGCGCGGTGTTTTATAGTTGTTGTTGATATATGAATGGAAACGAAAAATAAACAATTCAAATTTGGGTTCTCACTAAACAGGTAAACGTTTTTTAATGTATAGTATTTGTTAAAAACATCTACATGCAAAGGTTTAGACTTATCCCATTAATAAAAGCTTTAAAATAAAGTCTACACTAAGGTTCTCTTTCTTTTGCAACTCAAATAAGATATAAGCTTTCGTCGACTAACCACTCTAGTGGTCAAATACTACAAAAAGAAGAAATTAACATATCTACATTCTAGCACTATAAGCCAACAACATTCGACTTCTATTGAAAATAACGAGACATATATATGGACTAAACTAACGTTATTAGATTTTTCATCAAGGACAAAAGTAGAGAAAGTTGGTATTTCCTCGGAGTTTTAATTTCTGCCATCTGAATTAGATCCGCACACTCGGTCTTATATCTCGAGCAATCCACTCCAAACTCCATAATATATTTAGCCTGAAGGAGAGTCATTAGCTTTTCATGATTTATTAGTCCAGATCAGAGCATATCTTGTCCAGATGTTTAGGGTTTGCGGTACTCAATGGCTCGATGCTAGCCGAACATGTTTTCAACAAATGTAGTTTCAAAAATAAAAGATACGGTAATCAAATTGTCAATTATATCTTGAAAAATTCTTAATTTAGACGACTACATTTCTCAAAGAAAGCCCAAGATGTTTGAAAATTATCATTACCTTTAGATAATCCTCGTCTAGTGGCGGTCTTCTATAATGGAGACTCAGTTTACTATTTTCTGATTTAAACTCGAATTAAAGTGGAGTATGAATGAGTTCAATTGTTAATTAAAGAATGAAATTAAACTATTACTGCTAATGAAATGTTTTTGAGTATTCACACCTACAAAAATATAAAATGCAACTAGTAACTAAAAATGTTTTTGCTTGCGTAGAGTCATAAATTAAATGCTTGTAGATAGTGACTATCTTCTATTCTTCTTCTTCTTTTTGTATTTCGCGATCGACTTAAGAAACAGAAAACTAAAGATCATGTCTAAGTCTGTCTAAGTCTAACACGTGGCAGAAAATGGCTGACTTTGCATAAAATTAAAAGTCATACAACTCTCTACGCCGACAAGTCAACCACTATTTTATTTTTCTTACCTTTTTAAACAAAATCCAAAATAGTCAACAGTCAAACTAAACATCACATCATAATTTAAAGCAAACTAATTAATAATCTGAGTAACATTCCATAAAATCCCGTCCGTATGACTGCGTACAATTCCGAATCTGCATTATTGTTCCAGCAGCCAAAGTAACAGTAGATGCACGAGAGTATTCTTGTTGGAAATGTGACAAAACAAATAAAGTTTTCTTCTTATAATATTTCTGGAAAAATCTTTGTTAACTAAAGAATCCCGTCCGTA